TTTCAGTTAGTAAATCGGGGGTGTTACACTTGAGATTTTAGGATATACATCTCGGGGTCATATAATGCCATTTGAAACCATATATGATCATTATATGTTGTCATAAATGTTCGTGGTGTCTTGAGTTAATGAAATCGGTACAAGTTGTAAATCGGTAAATTGGCCGTTTAAAGGCAAATTGGATGGTTCCACCAACCTAATTGCACTCCCGGAGCGTATTAGTGACCATGGTAAACATTTCGGCAATTTTTAATTTCAAGCGAAAAAAAGTAAAAAAAAATCAAAAATTAAAGGCTAATTATCCACGCTTTTTGAGAAATTTTGGAGGTTTCGGGGCCCGATGTCGAAAAGGTTTGAGATTTAAGGAGATACATCTCGGAGTCATATAATGTTGTTTGGAACCATATATGATCATCAAATGTTGTCATAATGTTCTTGGTAGGATTGAATTAATTAAATCGGTGCAAGTTGTAAATCAGTAAATTGGCCGTTTAAAGGCAAATTAAATGGTTCCACCACCCAATTGGACAATGTCCCAGAGGGTGTAAGGGACCATGGTAAACATTTCGGCAATTTTTATTTCCGTGCGAAAAAAGTCAAAAAATTCCAAAATTGAAGGCTAATATGCACGCTTTTTGAGAAATTTTGGAGGTTTCGGGGCACGGTGTCGAAAAGCTTTGAGATTTTAGGTGATACATCTCACAGTCATATAATGCCGTTTGGAACCAAAATGATCATTATATGTTATCATAAATGTTCATAAAAGGCTTGAATTAATGAAATCGATGCAAGTTGTAAATCGGTAAATTCCCCGTTTAAAGGCAAATTGGATGGTTCCACCCACCCAATCGGAGTCTCGGAGAGTATTAGGGACCATGGTAAACATTTTGGCAATTTTTATTTCCGGACGAAAAAAAGTCAAAAAATTCTAAATATTGAAGGCTAATATCCACGCTTTTTGAGAAATTTTGGTGCTTTCGAGCCCGTGTCGAAAAGGCTTGATATTTTAGGAGATACATCTCGGGGTCATATAATGCCGTTTGAAACCATATATGATCATTATATATTGTCATAAATGTTCGTGGTAGGCTTGAGTTAATGAAATCGGTGCAAGTTGTAAATCGGTAAATTGGCCGTTTAAGGGAAAATTGGATGGTTCCACCAAACCCAATTGATCTCCCGGAGCGTATTAGTGATCATGGTAAACATTTCGGCAATTTTTAATTTCAAGCGAAAAAAAAGTAAAAAAAATCAAAAATTTAAGGCTACTATCCACGCTTTTTGAGAAATTTGGAGGATTCAGGGCCCGATGTCAAAAAGGTTTTAGATTTTAGGGGATACATCTCGGGGTCATATAATGCCATTTGGAACCATATATGACCATCATATGTTGTCATAGATGTTCGTGGTAGGCTTGAATTAATGAAATCGGTGCAAGTTGTAAATCGGTAAATTTGCCGTTTAAAGGCAAATTAAATGGTTCCACCCACGCAATTGGACTTCCAGAGCGTATTAGGGACCATGGTAAACATTTCGTCAATTTTTATTTCCGTGCGAAAAAAAGTCAAAAAATTCCGAAATTGAAGGCTAATATCCATGCTTTTTGAGAAATTTTTGAGGTTTCGGAGCCCGGTGTCGAAAAGGCTTGAGATTTAAGGGGATACATCTCGGGGTCATATAATGCCGTTTGGAACCATATATGATCATTATATGTTGTCATAAATGTTCGTGGTAGCCTTGAGTTAATAAAATCGGTGCAAGTTGTAAATCGGTAAATTGGTCGTTTAAAAGCAACTTGGATTGTACCACCCACCCAATTGCAAACCTGGAGCGTATTAGTGACCATGGTAAACATTTCGGCAACTTTTAATTCCGAGCGAAAGAAATTCCAAAATTAAAGGCTAATATCAACGCTTTTTGAGAAATTTTGGAGGTTTCGGGGCCCGGTGTCGAAAAGGTTCGAGATTTTAGGGGATACATCTCGGAGTCATATAATACCGTTTGGAACCATATATGATCATCATATGTTGTCATAAATGTTTGTGGTATGCTTGAAATAATGAAATCGGTGCAAGTTGTAAGTCGGTAAATTGGTCGTTTAAAGGCAAATTGGATGGTTCCACCCACCCGATAGGACTCCAAGAGGGTATTGGAGACCATGGTAAACATTTTGGCAATTTTTTTTTTCCAGACGAAAAAAAGTCAAAAATTCCAAAATTGAAGGCTAATATCCACACTTTTTGAGAAATTTTAGTGCTTTCGGGGCCCGGTGTTAAAAAGGTTTGAGATTTTAGGAGATACATCTCGGGGTCATATATTGTCGTTTTGAACCATATATGATCATTATATGTTGTCATAAATGTTCGTGGTAGGTTTGAATTAATGGAATCGATGCAAGTTATAAACCGGTAAATTGGTCGTTTAAAGGAAAATTGGATGGTTCTACCCAACCAATTGAACTCTCGGAGGGTATTAGGGATCATGGTAAACATTTCGGCAATTTTTATTTCAGGGTGAAAAAAAGTCAAAATATTCCAAAAATTGAAGGCTAATATCCACGCTTTTTGAGAAATTTTGGTGATTTCGGGTAGATTTGTCAATTCAGGTAAACGGGTCGAGTTTAGGTCTGTAAGAGTGGGTCGAGTCTACTCGGGACGGGTAAATTCGGATTTATTTCATAACCTATGCGGTCGGGTAAATTCGGATTAATTCCATAAACCTATGCGGGTCGGGTTTGGGTTGGGTCATGCTTGAGTCGGGTCATGCTTGAGTCAGGTCACGTCGGGTCATACTTCTTATCGGGTTTGAGTCGGGTTAATAACAGGTCGGGTTACATTCGGGTCGGGTAAACAATAGGTCGGGTTTTGTTCGGGTTTTCACGGGTTAAAACGGATTAGGGTAATTCTCGAGTTCGAGTTGGGTTTGGTTCAAGTCAATGATTTGCGGGTTAGAATCAGGTCGGGTCATTCTCGGGTTCGAGTCAGGTTTGGTTCAAATCAATAATTTGCGGGTTAGAATCAAAACGGGTCATTCTCGGGTTTGAGTCGGGTTCGGTTCAAGTCAATAATTTGCGGGTTACAATCATGTCGGGTCATTTTCAAGTCTGGTAATTCTCGGGTTCAAGTCGGATTCGGTTCAAGTCAATAATTTGCGGGTTATAATCAGGTTGGGTCATTTCCAAGTCGGGTCATTCTCGGAGTCAAGTCGGGTTATGTTCAAGTCAATAATTTGCAGGTTACAATCAGGTCGGGTCATTTCCAAGTCAGGTTATATTCGGGTTCAACTAACTATAAATTGATAATTATCATTTTTATCAAGCTAATTATTTTCTTTGACTATAATATATATGGCAGTATACTAGGGAACTATAGTTTATAATTTAGGAAGATAATTATCTCCTTTAACCATACAACAAATATATACTAAATTTAACTCTTAAATTTGAGAATGATGCTCCTTTCTTTTGCTGGCTTGGATCGACTTGGTCTCCCTAGACAAAATGCTTTGATCAACAATAATAAGGTGGTCAAAATTGCATTTAAGGTGATTTGAAATTGGGTCAGGAACAATTTGGGTTGAATTTAGGTCGGGTCAATAACAAGTCGTGTTTGTTTTGAGTCAGGTTAGTAACAGATCTGGTTGAATTTTTAGGTCGGGTTAGTAATAGGTATGGTAAAATTCGGGTCGGGTCAATAACAAGTCGGGTTGAATTTGGGTCAGGTCAATAACAAGTCGGGTTGATTTCGGGTCGGGTTTGTAACAGGTTGGGTTGAATTCAGGTCAGGTTAGTAACAAGTCGGGTTAAATTCGGGTTTTGACGGGTTAAAACGGGTTTGGGTCAATTTCGGTTCAAGTCGGCTCGGTTCAGGTCAATAATTTATGGGTTATATTCGGGTCGGGTCATCTCCAGGTCAGTTCATGTTCGGGTTCGGGCCTCACATACTCGGGTCTAGGGTTGGTTTCAGGTCGAGTTTGGGTCACCATTTTTTCGGGTTCAGATGGGTCGGTTAATAATCGGGTTTGTGTCGGTAATTCGGGTCGGGTTAACTTTTGACAGCTCTAATTGAGACCATTAGACATTCTAAAGCCAAGGCTCAGGACAAGAGGCAAAGGGACACACATTGGTGCAACAAAGCACTTTAAAAAAAATATATGTAGAGACTGTTATATTTTTCATAGTACAGCATCATGTTAGCAGATTATTTCTTAAAAAGTACTCCGTAAAAAAGAATGCTGGTAGTTGTGAATTGCATTATTGATTAACATTATGAAGACATTAATTTCAATAGGCACATCTCTCATGCCAAGCATTCATAGGCAATCAACTTCTGAACCTTGAGCCTCAGTGCCTTAAGGCCCCTCAGGTGCCATATTTCATACACTGCTGGGACCAGCGTTGGTTGATAATTCCAGAACAGGGAAATGTGACCTTTGACTGGAACTAAGCTATGAACATGAACTTTTAAGTTTGGTCCGAAGTTCAAGCATGAGGTTTAACTGAATTATAATCCACATACTCACAAAGTACATCATATGCCACACCTCTAGCCCCCCCCCCCCCCCGGTCCATTATAATTGAGTGGTTTTGAATGGTCTATGCATAACTCAAAAACTTTACCATGAAGAAAGCTAAGTATATGTCCAAAGCTAATCAATCAGAAGCAAATCTTTGGCATTATACCAGCATAGTGACGAAGATAGTCACCATGACCACATTAACATATTCTCCAAGTATATATCTATATTAACTCATAGTGGAAAACGGTTAATGAATAAAGTTATGAACAAGGGCAAAGCCAGGAACGAAGGTTAAAAGAAATTAATATAACTAAATGAGGAGTTGAAAAAACATAAATAAGGGACAAAAAAAATAGGAAATCTTAACTTCAAAACAAAAATAGGACAATGAAAATCTAAAGGAGCACATGATAAGTCAAATCAAAGACCTAAAACACATGAGACCTAAGCTCCATGCAAAGCATTAAAGAAGCATCTCTAACCTGACTGAGAACATTCCCTTTCCTATTTAATGCATAAACAGCCCCTTTTGCGTATCTTCCCCAACAGCACTCTTCTTCCAATTTTGTTGAACCATTGGAATTGGTACTTTCATTTGCCTTTGCAGCCTTTTTAGGATGGTGACTTTCATCAACTCTGCAAGAAAATTAGGTCTTGGTGAATACTCAAGATTACAAGACAAGTTATGGGAATTAATGGGAAGCAAAGAAAGAAGATAAGGTTTCTGAGAATTAATATTATATGATAGAAGCAAGGGGAATGGAAAATAACCATGCAGATGATAAAATACAAGGGAATGGCATATGTACGCTTTCTGGGGTTCTTACCTGAACTTTACTTCTCCTCCAAACTGTGCAGAATGCAACACCATCTGCATGAAATGTATCCTCATCGATGAGACAGAGAGCAACATTGCCTATGTCTATACTACTAGATATCAAATGTAGTATTGAAGACTAGCTCACAAACCAATACGAGTCTTCTTAACATCTTCATTCATGCACACCCGGGAAAAATTCTTTGGAGGTCACCCATCTAATAACTATATAAGCATTTAAGTTTATGGGAAAGATGCAGCTTCTTGCTATAAGCCTATAACTAATACCATTAACCTCTAAGCATTCTTTAAGAAATAACAATCACATGGGTGTTATAAAGAGAGCAGAGGAATACATAATTACAGGGGAAACAAGCAAAATTCTCGTGCAACAGCAGAACCTAGAGAGCATAAAATAAACCACAAGACCAAAGGTTGACAGGTACTTAACGTCTTTGAGGTCCAAAGTCGAATACACTGTTGAATGAAGTAAGCAACAGAAGTCAAGGGTGAGAATAATTCTGGTACTTATAGGGCACACTAGATGCACGCCAGCTCCAGCGCATTTTTACTATGAATCCTCAAAAGTACAGCATTTTAGCCTCCCCATATAACACACTAGAGGAGAAAAGTGCAAGGCAAACAAAAATTATTCTAAACCTCTGCTTAACATTGTAAAAACTCAAATACTCTAGGACTAGGACCATTTATGATGCTGCCATGATAGGGCATTTACCATTCTCCCTCAGACTTACACTGGAGTAGTGGGGACCATAGATACATAAATCCTCTTTAGATTCCAACTGTTACTGGAGTCCACCAAAAGTTCCACTGTTCTGAGCCCTTTTAATCATTCATGATACAAAATTGCAAACTACCCAACTGCATTTCTTCAGCTCTTTTCTCTATCCTATCAGCACGTTTTACAATCTCGGTAAGTTCTAATCAGATCAATTGAGATCTCTCGGATCTACTCTTCCTCTCCCCTCTGCCCCCCCCCCCCCCTTCTCCCCCAACCCAGTCAAACACTATAGAAGCTTAAATTTGTGAAAATGCAAGACACTCCAAAATTCCCTCACTCAAAATTAAAGAAACGAGCAATATACCTCAGGGTTACCAGAAGGAACAAATGCAAGAACAACTCCCTTGTTTATCGTCATAGCCGAAACAGCTCCACCCTAATAACAATAGATCAGCAACAGAAGCACTAAAATCATTACATCAAAACAGCAGCAACCACTAACTAATAGTCAGTCATATCAAAGCAACAAGAAACAACCCCAAATCATTTTGGGACTAAGGCTTTGTTGTTGTAGTTGTATCAAAGCAACAAGAAATTAGTAATTAGATCAATGAGTTCTTCCAACATCATACACTCAACTATAGTAATATACAATAGTGTAATGTGATTAGATAGAAGCATGTTAGCCATCATTACTAACAAAACGAAACCGAATTTATTACCTGATGATCAATGTGTGCTCCCAAAGGACAAATCCTGTATGGAGAGACAACCACCCTAACTTCCTCAGTAGTTCTTTTAGCCATCTCAGCTACTTCCTTCTTTAACTCATTCAACTACAATAAAAACTTTTAAGCTTAATTTACAGATTTACAATGATAGTATACATACACACAAAAATAAAAAATAAAAAAATATATATATTATATAATCTATCATCATATTCTTCAGCTACATTGATCATTAAATGACATGAAAATAAATGTAAAAACAAAAACCCAATTCCCAAAATGTTAATCTCAGTAATTGCATTATGAAAAATTAAAACAAAGACTAAATTATCAAAGTGAACACTTAAAACCCACTTGAAATCAGATCGTTATAGGTTGGAAAATGAGCATACATAATTATCAAATTAAAGGTTAATGAACGAAATTGTATGTAAAATTATCAAGAAAATAACAACCCAGTTCTAACATTAATAAAAAAGACACAATTTTGGAAATAATAAAACATGGGATTCTTACCTCTGCTTCGGAAGGCCATGAATATCCAACCATTTTCAGAATGCAAAAGGAATAAAATTATAATTGAAAAGAACAAAAAACCCAATTTTGATGATATGGGAGAGTGTATATCAGTTTGGTGAAGCTGGGAAATCAGTTCAGAGGTCAATTTTTCAGTAATCTGTGATCCAACATTCCAACTACTAATTTTGGGGGGCTTTTTTTTTTTTTTTTTTTTTTTTGAGGGGAGAAATAAAATGGATTATCGAAGGGATTATTTGTTTTCATATTATTGCTCCCTTAGGCTCATTCTCTTCACCTTAATTTTGATAAACTGAAATTATTTGGCAAATTTCACATTTACTATCAGGGAAAGGACCCTAATTCACATTTGTTACCCCTTTAATTTTTTATTTTATTTTACTACCACCTAAATTAGAGTTTTTTAAAAATCACTACCACTTAATGGAATCTGTTACGATTTCCGTTAAGTTTATTAAAAAAAATAAATTAAAAAATTAAAAAAATAATTAAAATAAACCACCCTCCCCCTCCCCTGCCACCCCCTGCCCTCCCCCTGCCGGCGCCCAGAACTTCAGCCGGCGCCGGCGCGTGCCCACCCCCTCCCTATCCCCCACCCCTACGCAGCCAACGCGAACCCCCCTCCCCTTTTCCCGTTCTCGCTGCCCCGACCAACCACCCCGAACCGAAACCAAAACCACCCCCAGAATCCGCCCCCAACCCCGTTCCCTCCACCGAATCGACCCCCCTCCCCTTCCTTTACCGCGTTTTCGGCCTCCCCTAACCCTAAACCACCACCCCAAAACCACGAAAAACGAATTAAAGGGGGCTGATTGGTTTTTTCGTGAGGGTTGGTGGTTGATCGGGTGGCTAGGGTTTGCGATTTAATTTGTGGCTGGCTGGAGAACCTCCGCGCTGATGGGTGAATACGGTTCGAGCTGGAATCGGGCTGGGAATGGGGTCGTTTTTGATTCGTGGTTGTGTGAAGCTAAGGTGTTCGTTGGAACCGGGCTGAGAAAGGGGTTTGTTCTTGGTGGTTGTGTGAAGGTGAGGAGGTGTTGGTGGCGTTTGGGAAGGAGGTGGGCTGCTGGTGGAGTTTCGCGGCTGCCGTGGGATTCTTTGGGCGCCGGCGTTGATGGGAAATGGAGGTTGGATGGTGGCAATGAGGGTGGTTGAAGATGGAGCGGTGGCGGTGAGGTGGTTGGACGGTGATTGGGCTTCACTTACGGAAATAGTAACGGCATCCGTCAAATGGTAGTGATATCTAAAATTTTGGGATTTGGGTGGTAGTAAAATAAAATAAAAAATTAAAGGGGTAGCAAATGTGAATTAGGGTCCTTTCCCTGGTAGCAAATGTGAAATTTGCCTTATTTTTAATGAATTGAATTTATTTTTGCTGAACTTAAATTATTTTTACTGAACTTAAATTAATTTTACTGAACTGGAATTATTTTTACTGATTTTCTATTATAATTCTTCTTTAATAAAACTGAATTTTGCTGAACTGAACTTATTTTACTGAACTGAAATTATTTTTACTTAATATTATTTTTTTAAGGTGAAGAGAACAGGGCCTTAGTCCGTTTACTTTACCTTATTTTTGCTGAACTGAAATTAATTTTATTGAACTGAAATTATTTTGCTGAACTTAAATTATCCTTTTTACTGGAAGTGAAGTTATTTTTACTTTGTCAAAATATATATATCTATATATATATATATATATATACTAATTTTCTATTATATTTCTTCTCTAAGTTTACTGTTTTTCACTGAACTGAAATTATTTTTGCTGAATTGAAATTAATTTTGCTGAACTAAAATTATTTATACTTAATATTATTTTTTTAAGGTAAAGCGAACAGGTCCTTAATCTAAATACTATTTTTTAAAAAAAATAATATCTTAGAAGCATATTAATGATATTTAGAGAGATATTAGCTAGAATGGTGAAATGAGGGTTAAATTTGTCAAATATATTACCTTCGCTAAGTATGAAGTATTTCGTTACAATAAAACCATACCTTTAATCATCAAACATATGCCTTCCAACCTTTTTGTTTGTCCTATAATTACTTTTGTTTGTCTCTTAAAGAGTTTTCTAATTTGTTGTTTTCAGACTTGGTAACCACCATTAATATGAGTTTTGGACATGTTTAATCATTAAAACTATCCGCTTAGGGCCTGTTCACATTTACTTAATTTCAGTTCAGTTCGCGTTCAGTTTAGCTCCAATCAGTTCGGCTCTTATCAGTTCAGCTCTTAACTTCTCTCTCTCATAAAATATTCATTTCAGCTCTGTTCAGTTCAGCTCCAATCAGTTCAATTCAGTTCAGTTCAGCTCAGCTCAATAAATGTGAACATGCCCTTAGCCCCATTTGCTTTTTCGCTCTAATCAATCACAATACCTCATCAATTCCTATATCATAAAAACCCAACGTACTCTTCCACATTAGTTCCCCTAACACACAATTTTTTTCTTCTCCTTAACCCCATTGCATACTCTCATCACCACATTTTCTTTCTTCTCTCCAACCTCGATGTATCCCCTTGCCTTCTCTCCTATTTCTTTCCCCTTGTCTATACCCTAAATCCCTTTTTACTTGCCACCTGTTAGAACAATATGAAAGATAAGGAACAATATGAAAGATAATGAACAATAAAGGGCAGATATTTCTTCTAAGTGCATGTCATAGCCACTTTCATAATAGTTTATTATGGAGAGTGAGAGATAGCTCAAGTGGTTTGAGTTTCTCTTCCGGTTCTATGAGATCTTAGGATCGATTTTTATCATCGTCTTTGTGACTATCTAAACACTTGAAAAAAAAAAAAGTTTATTATCGACCTTCTACAAAACAACATGGCTAGCATGATATAACTATTGGGATACAAAGAAGAGACAATTGATTTTATTTTGGTTGTTTATCAAAATCAATCAAAGTTTGCAAATAAGTGTTTGTAAAAATCATGAGAAACTATTCTCGAAAATTTTCTCTTAAAGGAAGCAAGTTTAATTATTGTTATTTTTAATTATCAATCATGCATGTCAAATAAACTCCTATCTATAGAAGTCTAACGAATATGTCCGTTCACAAAGCAATTTATGTCAACAACTGCTGAAAAACCATTAGTTTTGGACTAAGTCGGTTAGATGCGCAAAAAACATTAGAAAAAGCCATGTAAAATCTAACATCATTCCCCTAGTCGAGCACACAACATCTCATTAAAGTTTGAGATAATCATCAGAATTGGACTCGTGCTCGATCTACGAGATAATATAAGGTGAACTAAACGTATCCCGACTATAAGAATTTTACTTGTACTCCATTTTATAAGGTCCGTTTAAAGTACACATTCTAGGCCAAAATCCAAAATAAAATAAAATGAAAATTTCAAGGACTTAAAAATGCAACTCATGTCTTATTCTTCTTTATATCTTCATTTATTCCCCACTGTTCCTCCTTTATTATTTTTTAATAATTTATTTTCTTTTCTTTAATTTCTCACTTTTCCATCTTTTGACAGTTGCTTTCCTTTTTCCTATCACAACGTCTCTCTCTTTCTCTCTCTACTCACACTTTCTCTCTCCTCTCTGTTTTTTGTGTTCACTTCACACTTCACACTCCTCGCCATTGCTGGTACTTCTTCTCTCTACTTAATTACACTTCCTTTTTATGCTTTAATTATTTTTTTTTCATAATTATAAATTTGTGTGAATCAATATTACAATTTGGGTTTTTTTTTGGTATTTTTTATTTTATTTTTTTTTTATTTTTTTGGTGAATTTGCTACTGCAAATTTTAGCTTCTCTCGATCATAATTATTACAATATCTGAACTGGGTTTCTGCTGATTAATGTAATTCACATTTTTTCTTTTGTTTAATTTATTTATTTTTAATTACTTCTTCTGTAATCTGAAGTGGGTTTTCACTGTACTTGAAACCCTGTACTGTATTTTTAATGTTTGTCAATTCTAAAAATCTGAACTGGGTTTTCTCTAATTATCTCATTTTATATAATTAATCTAATTTTCTTGAAATTTTCCCAATTAATTGTATCAATTGAGCTTAAATTTAATTTTTCTTAATCACAATTTTTTTTTTCCAGCGGTTTATTATTGGAGTAATTGAGCTTTTTTTTTTTTCCCCTTTTGTCCAGAATATATTCTGTACACATTGTCACATTCTAAAGCATTGAGCAATTGTCTGCCTCAAAAAGAGAATAAAAAAAGAAATAAAAAAGAAGGGGAAATATAGTGAATGTGTGATTTATGATACTTTCTGGGTTTGAGTCTTTTGATAAATTCATGGTTAGAATGAATATACAGTTTTAGTTTTTCCAAATGACTTGAGAAGAAAGAAAAGCATCCAAAATTTTATGATTAATTTATACTATCTTTGTTAATTTTTCGGTTTTTCGAGCTTTGATTATGGAATTGCTTCTTAATAAGGTGTAATTTCTGTCTGTCATTCTAAGCTTTTACTTTACTTGCTCATTCAACAGCCTAGAGAGCCTTATGAATTGGGGAAAAGGCATACAAGAATTGTGTTATTCTGGTACCCATTTGGAATCCAGGATCATTAGTCTCGTCGAAAAGATTAGTCCAAAAGGGAGGGATGGGATGTAATTCATCGAAATTGGATGATGAAGAGGCTGTTCAAATATGTAAAGATAGGAAGAAGTTCATCAAGCAAGCTCTTGAGCATAGAACTAAGTTTGCCTCGGGTCATGTTGCATACATTCAGTCCTTAAAACGAGTTTCTAGTGCTCTTAGTGAGTATATAGAAGGCGATGAGCCTCGTGAGTTCTTGTTAGATTCGTTTATTACACCTCCAGGGAAGAAATTGACCCCAAAGTTCATCACCATTTCTCCAAAGTGTTTCTCAGCACCAACTATTCAAGCTGGGGAGAACTCGAATGTGAGGATCAACTACTACAGACCAAGTGGGACTGCATCAGTTTCGGTTGAGGAGAGACCTCAGTCTCCTGATACTTATCGCGTTCAATCCTATTCGCCAATGCACCAATATGGTGGGTTTGATGGTTTCTTTACAATGCAGTCTCCACAAAGGAATTCTTCTTACTATCCTCAGTCAAACTCGCCGTATAATAGACCTGAGATACCTCCCTCCCCTCAAAATAATTCTCAGTGGGATTTCTTTTGGAACCCCTTTTCATCATTGGATTACTATGGTTATCCTGTGAGGAGTAGCCTCGAGCAATCGATAGTTGATGATGATATAGCAGGATTAAGGCAAGTTCGGGAAGAAGAAGGGATACCAGACTTAGAAGAGGTAACCGAACATGAGGAAATCAATGAAGGAAGACATAGACGAGAAGAAATTCCTAAAGGACCGGCACATGTTGTAAGGGAGGAAGTAATTGTTGAAGATGATGATGAGGATGAAGAAAATGATGATGACGACGACGATGATGAAACAGAAAATGAAGTTGAAAATCAACATGAAGTAAATGGATTACAGGAACAAACTAATGACAGCATACAGCCTTCACAGGTTCCAAATGCTGGACATGTTGAATTCAATCGTCATGAAACAAGGGTTACTGAAAGAGAAAAGAAGGAAGAAGAGGCACCAGGATTCACTGTTTATGTAAACAAAAGGCCAACAAGCATGGATGAAGTTATCAAAGATCTAGAATCTCAGTTCGTGACTGTTTGTGGTGCTGCAAATGAAGTTTCTGCAATGTTAGAAGCTAATCGCGCTCATTGCCTACCAGCATCAAGTGAAGTAACAGGTACATGGTACAACTTTTACATTTTCTCCATCCTCACATATGTATTCTGAGTATAAGACTACATTAGATTAATCATGCATTTGATGTTATTAATCAAATTTGCATCTGAAAGTTGGCATAGATTGGTTACAATTTCAAATTACTCTTTCATTTGTGTTAGAAGTATGAGATGTGTGATTTTTATGTTGTTGATTTCTTATCAACTGTGGTTGTGTTGCAAGTTTGACTGCATGCAGTAGTGCTTACTCATCGTTCATATGTTGTATAAGTTTTAGGAGAAAGCCAAATGCTATGTGAAATAGGATTGTATTCATCTAAAATACTATGGTGTGCAGCTATAAAAATGTTGAATCCAGCAGCATTGTTCCGATCAGCCTCATCACGCTCCTCGTCATCAAGATGTTTGGTCAACTTTTCAGAAGGTTCAAGAGATGAAGGATCTGAAAGCAGCAGTAACGTATCAGATGAATCATCCATGTTTTCTGGCAGTCATCATTCAACACTTGACAGATTATATGCATGGGAGAAGAGATTGTACGAGGAAGTCAGGGTATGCTTTATATGATGGCTTTCACTGTTTCACATGACTTGATACATCATATGTCATTAACAATATATGTAACTTTTCTGACAGTCTGGAGAACGAGTTCGATTGGCATACGAGAAGAAGTGTACACAATTGAAGAATCAAGCAGCGAAAGGAGATGAACCTTCAACGCTGGAAAAAACTAGGATAGCTCTTCGAGATTTGCATACCCAAATAAAGGTTTCAATACACTCAATTGAAGCTATTTCAAAGAGGATTGAAACTCTACGGGATGAAGAATTGCAGCCTCAGCTTTTAGAATTGGTGCAAGGGTATGTCACATCACTTAATTTTCATATTTTCTATTGGGGTTCTAAACCAAATATCTTGTCTGTCCGAACATATGTTTTGATTTAAAACTGAAACAAGAAAAGAAACATTATTGTTTCCTGTGGCATTCATATTGTACATGAACATTGAACAAGATGCTCGAGTTGTGGTTTTGTGAGTTATAGAATACTGATAGCTTTTACTAATATTGTTTGGTTGGTGCTCAAGAATTTTATCCTGCACCTCTAAACTAGTCACAACAAACTATGCTTGTGTTCATGTCAAGGGCTTGTTTTAAAATTAAGATGATGCATTGCAGGTTAGCAAGAATGTGGAAAGTAATGGCAGAGTGTCACCAAATGCAAAAGCATACTTTGGATGAAGCCAAACTTCTGTTAGCCGGTACACCTTCAAAGCTTAACAGATCAAGACGACATAATCCTTCACTTTCTGCAATAGACCCTCAACGACTGGCTCGTTGTGCCCACAATCTAGAGTCTGAGTTAAGGAATTGGAGAGCTTGTTTTGCATCATGGATCTCTTCTCAGCGATCCTACATACATGCATTGTGTAGCTGGCTCTTAAGATGCATGAGGCGTGAGCCCAACACATCAGATTTACCTTTCTCCCCTCGTCGCTCTGCTGGGGTTCATCCAATCTTTGGAATTTGCATCCAGTGGACAAGACTTCTTGATGCAATAGGTGAGACTGCAGTGCTTGATGGGCTGGATTTCTTTGCTGCAGGAATGGGATCAATCTATTCTCAAAGCCAGAGCTTGGCTCAAGGCCAAGCCCAAGCCCACAATAGTGGTGGATCGCGGAGATTTGAGGATTCCGGTGGAAGCATGGAAATGGTGGAAGTAGCGAAAGTCGAAGAAGTTATGACACCGGAGAAAATGGCAGAAGTTGCCGTAAGAGTCTTGTGCGCCGGAATGTCAGTTGCTATGAGCTTATTGGCAGAATTTGCTGTTAGTTCAGCTGAGGGATACGCTGAACTGGTAAAACAATGGGAAAATGTTAAGTGGCCACCTAATTCCAATGCTGAAGGAATGTAATCTCTTTTTTTTCTTCATTTCTTCTTTGTTTAGGTAGGTTTTCAATATAAATTGGATGTCAATGTAATTACTAAATTATTACAGCTTGGTCATGTAAAGATTGAAGCCGGGCTTCTATTGTACTACTAGTTAGTTAGGAAGATCATTAGGAAGAATGGAATGTGGTAGCTCTCTTGCTGTCTGTTTTTCTGTTGTGTCACAAGAGAGGCTCAAAGGACACTCCCAAAAATGGTGTTTGGATTTGGGAAAATTTTGGTATGATTAATATTTATTGTAGAAATTCTTTTCTAAAAGACGAAACTTAAAAACTTATTATAATTACAATCTACTAAAATATTCTCGAGGCTCCCTTGTATAAAAGGATTATACATGAGCCATGATTAGTTTGGAATTGAAAATATCTAGCAGTGAATTCACTGAATTGTACCCACAACAGTATTCGTAACTAAATTTTTTTTATCTTTTACTTTTTTTGATTGAGTGAGAAAAGTTAGGCTAGCCCCTTTGATTGGAAAAACCTAAAGCATCCTTTTTTATGGTAAGGGAGAGGGAAAGCGCAAAATTATTAAAGGACCAAAGTAAATTTTTATGGTGATGCCCCGTCTTTGTCATGTAACTAAAATATTATGAAATGAACCTGTAAGTATTGATTAAAATTTCATTACGCGTCACCCAATAAAGACCCCAACCCAAACCTATTTAACACATTTAAAAAGGACTGTTGATAAAGTAGCCAACTAACATAAATCATTGTGTAAGGTCTGTAAGCTTCCCGGACAGCCAGACCTCACATGTGAGTTATGTTGGTAAATCAGATTTATTGACCTTTGTACAGTACTGATAGATACAGGAAGTTCTTAGAAAACTTCACACAACTTTCCAAAGAAAGGAGTACCTCTTAACTTTCAGCTCATATCTTTGAAAAAATCAAATTTGATAACACAGGTCTGCTTAAACTCAGTGTACATATTCGTTCTGGACATGATTAGCCGAATAGCCTACTTGTAAATAATGAATCAACTCTTTTCTTCCAAAAAAACATAATGGGAACAAATCCCTTCAACTGTGAACCAAAACTCCTGTCTTTTCCATGCAGAAACGGCTGACAAGGGTTGGGGGGTTATTACGTCGACATCTTACAAAAATGATGGCAAAAAACTGGTCAGATGGATTGTGAGTAGCTGAGCCTCATAATCTACTCTGAACTTAATTGAGATAATCTACACCATCATCATCTCCGTCATATTCCACTTCACCAACATCAGAGCCACCGAGAAGTGACAAGAACACGAGGACTGATATTAGCTGAGCTCCTAGAAAGTATTTGGCCCTTCGTCTGAACTTCTTTTCTTCCTCTGACCTTTCCTTTTTAGGTTTAGTTTTTGGCTTTGAACCTATACATTTTCCCTCAACAAGTCAATACAGATAATAACAAAGACAGAAACAGTGTGTCATTCAGGAAGAGAGTAAATGGACTACAAATTCTGAACGAGAAAAAGATGCAATAATCATCAAAAGGTTTGCTGAGGTGGAAGACATGGCGCTCAAACAAAAGAGAAAACTAACAACACAAAATTTATAACAATCACATACTAAATTTCTGAGCAAAATGTTGCCTTATCAACACGGCTTTATAGCAAATCATTACTGCCTCAATATCCTAATATTATCATAAAGCCTTCCTCTTTCTATCTTCTTTTTTCTCCTCTTTTTTGGGATCTTGACTTCTCTATTGCTCATTGTGTAGAGGGAAATAATAAAACCTCAAAACAGAACATAGAGTCCGGTGACATTAATTGTATAGATCTGCTGACACGCTTCATTCATAAATGGGAAATTTTTACACACAGGTACCCTGTGATAAGCCCAAGTGTGTGTTGATAGTCATAATTCCATCATTAACCTATGAATCTAACTTTGCTGATGTTAAAAACTAACATCCACAAAGAATCCCTGGCTGCTTTAATGTATTAATTTATAATTTCAAACTTATTAATTTTCCTGACACTCTAAAGAACAAGTCTGTACCGAGCCTACAGCTTAATAATTAAATCCAACGATTCACCATTTTCAGGAAAATCAAGAAGCTATCACCTTTTCACACACCTTCGTCAAAAATATGTTATTCTGGATATCACATGCCTACAGACCTTATAAAAGTGGAGAATAACAGATATTTGTGGATCATTCCCTAGCTGTCTTGCCTCAACTCTCCAAGACAAGTTCAAATATCATGCAACCAATGAAAATGAACATGCCTACAACTTAATGAATGTAACAATACCCAAAGAGCAAGAAAAAGGCATCCTATTCATTTAATCATGAGACATCACATTAGATATAGTATCTTACTCCAGTTAGAAAAGCCTCCTGGCTTTTTTGTAGAAGATGACGGCTGTCCTTCAAATGATGAAACTTTTGACCAAGCTGGAACAGCTGATTCTGGTGAAGAGTCAATGAACTCAGCACTGAGCTTTTCAGTATATTTCACAAGATTGCTGAAATTCAAAATCTTGCTCTTTAAAACCGATGTCTCCTACAAATTTTAAATTAAAATTTTAAAAAATAAGACATTGGAAAATCTAACAAAAAGAAAACACAAAAGCAAGTACTGAAAGCTGAAAGAACTTAAAATAAACAGAAATGCATTAACTGTAAATACATAAATCATAGTAACACTTAATGATCACGAATTCACTATATGTAACATAACTAAAAAGTTCACTAAACTGACGCATACTTAATTGTCAATTCCGAGTGATTTTTCAACTATCATTGTTCTTGTGAGCCTATTGCCTCTATTTCTTCTTGAGATAACAGAGGTTGGCTACAACATTATAACAAATAATCTACTATGTCTTACGACTATTAAGATTGCCAGGTAAGGTTATATACACAATACAGAGTACTATCCACCTTAGGTGTTAACCGTTTGGTCACAAATAAATGACACTTTCATTTATGGAGGTTTGACCTTACTCAAAATACTCCTTTGGACAATCAAGAAGCTTAAAACTATTCAAAATTCTTCTTTGGAGTTTGGACAATCAAGAAGCTCATTGAGGTCCACACTTTTCAGGACAATGAAGAAGCTAACACCTATTAGCCCACCTACATCTAGCTCAATAAATGAATCCAAAGGTCCCCACTTCATCTGATGGAACATGGCAAAAACCTACATTTGCACAATGTCATGAAATCCCAAATAGCAGAGAATCATTAACATCACTAGATTTCCTCTTTCTTTTTTCTTTTATTTTATTTTCTTTTTTTTTTTTTTTTGGGTGTAACTCTTTACTAGGCTTATGCCAAGAAGATAATTTAATAGATTGAAATAAGATAACTTATGATTTTGCAAGGATATCAAACAGCTCATGGAGCATAAGCCAATTTAGGTTTTAAACAAGCAAAATACATAACAAGATACAGATCAACTTGAAACCACATATAAGTTAGTTTATATGCACAAAATACTTTTCATTCAAATTAAATATTAATAATTAGTTAATTACTAAGTTTGTTACATTTGGCATTTTAGATATGAGTTCTCAATAGAACAACAGTACTTGTCTGGTAACTTACAGGTAAAGCCTGAAGGGCAATCAGCAAGTGACCAAGGAATAAGGCATCCAAACTACTAGGCCTACAATAAAAAAGGCAAAATCAATCCGGGCTGAATCAGTATTAACATTCATCTTGTGTTTCGCATACTAATAAAAATTTAAAAAAAATAAAAAAACACTAATGTCAACAATTGCAGAGGAACCTGTCTCCATAAAGATAAGAGTCCTCTCCCAACTGAGTTGAAAGAGCTCCATATGCTATACTCGCCCTCCTATAGATCTGTAGAAAAAGAGGATTACAGATTAGAAAAACTCAAACTGGAAAAATTTTAAGCTTCATGGAAGAGGTAAAAGGGAATAGTTAGACAGGCAAAGTTCACAACAGTGCTTAGTGATAGGAGGGAAAAATTATTCACACAAACTCCAAAAACAACATCTGTTACCACAGAACTTGTAAACAAGCAAGGAAAGAGATGCAATGACTGATCAATCAGATCAAACGCTTGTCCATTCACAAATTAGAATAACAAATATCAGAACAAAGTTTGACCTCAGTTTCTATTCTCTCGGCATTTTCATTGGTGATTCCAAGCTGGCTCTTCACAGCATGAATTTGCTTGAAGTAGAGAATAGTTCCAATGGGCCATGCAAGATCAGAATAGTAGATCTTTTGTACAGACTTTTTGTCTGAAGCTATCCATAGCTCATATACAAGGGCATCCACAAGCCAGCTGCTAACCATCGCCTTCATTGATATCCATTCTGGGATAGTGTGATAATCAGAGTCCAAATCAACAATACCATCTTCTCTTAAGCGATTGATGACCCCGCCATTCTCATTGTTGTAGGCCACGTAAGAATCAGACTCAACATATGGAATTTGATCTAATAAAAAAAAAAAAAAAAAAGAACATAAGCCCACATCACATAAAATATAATAACTCAGGCATTTCAGGAAGTTTTTTGAAAAGCATATACAATAGTTTCTGTAGGTACAACTCATGACTGATTACTGACAACTGTGATTATCTAAATATCTAGCACATTGTAAGGTCAGATGAACATGAAATGAAAAAATCCAACAATGGTAATTAAATCACACCAACGTTTATTTCAGAGGGGTTGAGATAGACAAGGGGTAAGAGATTAGGAAAAGGGAAGCAGCTAGTTGGACGGAATGATTATGCATAAAATGATTCTACATAGCTTCAAGTTACGCAGAGTATAAGTTCTGTGTAAATTTAAAATCTAGTCAACTTATGTATTGAAAGTCTTTATATTTCTGATCACTGTGATGTAAAGCTCGAACAGGTTTTAGCTTCTTATTGAAATTTTACTTGCAATATGGAAAGTAGAACATGTGGATTCATTTACATTAATTCACATTTAAATTGGGTTCGATGCCACTAACTAGCACCTGATGAGAACTTTTTTTCCTGATCGTGCCAAACGATATTCAAGTATCTCAATATGGGGAGATGAATTTTGAACCGTTGACGAATCAGTGATGGCTAACTATGTGGCCAAGTCGGTTCTTATCATTACAACAGGGAACTCTTGTGACTATTCATTTCTAACTGTGTTTCAAACTGATAAGTTATAGGCCTAAATGCGCAAAGTCCATAATTGTTCCTTAGATTATCCCTGATACCGATCTTGACATCTAAGAATAGGTGTAAGAACATTGAGTAAATTTTTTCAATAGATAACAGCTAAACCCATTTCCTTTGTAACAAAAATCACAATGCAGCAACTTTAGCATTTTCACTGATAGTATACTTAGAAGTATGATAAATTACTGTTCCATTAACAAAAATCTAGTCCATAGTCCATACTTGCAGCAATTCAATGATTCTTCTTCTTCCTCTAAAGTGCCATTCACTAAATTTGGGCTATCCTCCTTGGAACTACACAACTAATCCCACAAGAATCTGAGCACAAATCAAGCACTATCTCAGCCAAAAATGCCTACCCAGAAATTATTCATGCCAAATAAGGGTATCTATAATCGCGAAGTCGCCCCCAAAAATACAAATTAGCTCAAATTCAGCTACAATGAAATATAATTTCCAAACCAATAACCCAATATAGCCTTCTTCATGAATCAACCAAAATTTCCAACAACAAAATCTACCAGACTAACAAGACCCCCAACACATTTCCCCAATATAAAGCAAAGGGCAATGCACAAACAAAAAATAGCAACCAAAAAAAAAAAAAATCATAATAACAATAACAACAAAAACCCATTCAATTTATGTGAGAAATTAACCAAATTTCAGCAAACTAACAAGTACCCAGAAAAATAAAATACAGAAAAAAAACTGGGAATTCAAAGTTGAAAACAGTACCTGAATCAGGAAAGGTAGAATGGAAGCACAAATCAAAAGGAAGACGAGCAAATTTGAGATAGAAGTAGACAGGCAAGCAATCGGGGCAAGCAGTGGGAAGGCCAAAACAAGGCTTAGTTGTAACAAGGGTCAATCTTGATTCTTCCATTAAATTGAGCTTGCTTCAAAAATAACAAGAAATGAAGATTAATATTATTGGGGTTTGAAGGAGGTGGAAATTTGACTGATTTGGTCCATCATGCAAGAAAGAGGCTTGGGTAAGGGTTTCTCGGTGGGTTTAGATTTTCTTTTTTCTTTTTCTTTTTTCTTTTTTTTGGGGCAATTTTTCTTAAATATGCTAAAATGCAAACTAATTTCTTATGCAAGTCAATATAATAATAAAAAAAATTATAACAAAAACTATTTCTTGTAATACCATCCACGTATAATCGATTCGAACAAAACCGCTAACAATATTAGTGTATTTATGTATAGAACCACTAATACCATTAGTAGTTCCATGCATAAAACCTCTAATACCGTTAGCGATTTGAAGTTGAAGCTGCCTCGTTTACATTATCTTTCACTTTTGCCATATTATACAGAACCACTTAATGGCATTACCAAATTATATATAATCACAATGGTATTAGAGGTTTTATACGTAGTATATAAAATTGCTAACACCATTAGACGTTCTATGTTTGATAGAACTATCAATAATGTTAGTGGTTTCATACTTGCAAATACGAACCTTGAACCAAGTCTGTATGACCGGTATTATGAGAAATAATTTTAAACCAATGTATATAGATGTTTCTCAAATATTGCGGACTCACCCCTTTTTTCCTCATACCTTCCTTCTTGCCTTCTCAAAGCAACAATGACGAATTCTTCACCAAAATCATAGACAATTACCCAACAACACTGCATATACCAACCCAACCAACACTACATACACAGAGGTATTGTCGCTTCAAGGCAGTAAGCCATCCAACCGAACAAAAGATACCTTAGTAGCAAAATATGTAAATTAGGCACATACTAACTCCCTGGGGAAAGATATTTGCTAACTGCTAGGTAGTTGGAGCGGTGAGGTGATGCTATGTCGTGGGCTTAGAGTAGCGAAGTATAACTAAAGGAGAGAAACAGAGGGGGAAAAAATCATAAAAGTACATTGTTATCTCTATTTTATTAGTTGAAAAAACAACTTTAACCCCTTGAGAAACTTTAGTCTTATGTTATTACTCCCTTTATTTCGTATTAATTGCAACACTTTTCTTTTACATTAGTTTCATATATTTTTTTTTTTTTTTGAAAACAACATCAGTTTCATATTAATTGCAACTCTTTTATATTTGGAAAAGACCCACCATTATTTTATAATTTCTATCTCTCATTAACCCCACTTTCACAAATATTTTATTATTTCTCTTAATTGTTGCAAATAATATGAAATGGAAGTGGTATCATAAAAAATCCTATTTGAAACCCACTTTATAAATTTTCTTAAACTTTGTGAACGCCCTAGTGTTGCGATTGATATGAAATGAAGGGTACATTATTTTGGGAAATTAATTATTTATTTAGTTTTTTTTTAATAGTTAGGTGCATCCAGTTGATTTGATACAATGAGTAATGCATGTTGCACTTATTTCATATTAACACATAATTCTATTGAGAAATTATGTTATTTTTATTTGATAAACACTAATGTATTAGTTTTCATCCATAAACACTAGAGTGTTATTTTCTCAGAGATCATTATTATTGTCTCCCAATCTCATATAACACTCCACACTCGTACTTTTTATAAACCTCACATTATTTCTCTATAAGCTAGTTTTGCTAAATTGTGTGCACATTGATACATTAGTACTCTTGTGAAACTAGTAAAATAAATTGTGTATTTTCTCTCAATTTGAGTATTTCTTTTTATGTTTTATTTATAAATTTTGATGATATCATAAGACTATCCAAATGGTCACAAAATCCAAGATTTGACCTATAGCCCTCCTTGACCAAAACTCCCCAAAAACTATCCAAATCTAGGTACAAAAATTGGACATTTAGCCAATTGACCCTTTAGATTTTGGCACTAATCTAGTAACAACAATTTCCAAATAATACAAACAAAATAAATAAAATAAAAAAAAATATTAAAAAAACAGAGGAAAAGCAGAGGAGTGTGAGAGGAAGTGTGAAAAAGGTACAAGTGTACGTGTCAAATTGAAATTTTAATATGCACTATCCTTTCAACATTTGATGCCAATTCTCTACGTTAGTTGCCCTTTTACTTTGCCTTGTCTTTTTATGCCAACAACAGCAAAATTGTACCTAAATTTTTTTAGATATATGCATATATCCCTTCATATTTGGGTTCCTTTGTCTAGAATTAGTCCCTTTTTCCCTATTTATGGGGGGACCCTTTATTTGTTTTAAGATAATATTATAAATTTATTATTTTAATATAAATATATAAAGTTAATGAAGTTTAATTAATCCCATTTCAAAGACTTGGGTTTTGTCCAATTATTGATTATATTTTCTCTCTCACTCTTTCTCTCTCTTCAGTGGACTTCTTCTCATTTCATCAAACTACAGAGGAAGAGGGGGTCTAGGGTTTTGCTCGAAACTTTGGAAATTTGTGATTTTTTATACTTGGTAAGTTTTTCCTTATCATTTTAGATTATGGGTTGTTATTATTTTTTCATTATATTGATTGATAATTTGATTTTGTGTTTAGGGTTTTGCTTGCTTATTTTTTAATAGTAATATGCTCTGCTTATGTTGACCTTTGTTTGGCTAAAAGAATTTATCTTTTTTGTACTATTTGCTTGAAATTGGTTATTGAGTGACTGAAGTTTAGTGGATATCTGGTTGAACTCTGTTTTTCGATTGTTATGATTGTTGAATGAGCTTAGTGCTCTGTTTGGTTAGTTAGCAACCTGAAATTGTTGAAAAGCTTGTAACTTTAGCTTTAAGATTGAACTTTTTTTGACCTTGAGGGGTGGAAATTGTACTAGTGTATCTGTTGATTCTGTTGTTTGTAGTTAAGATGCTCTAACTGTTTGTTCGAAATCGCGTATCGAAATAATTTTGGTGCTAGTGCCAAATATATGCATTCTCCACTAACATTTTTTATTTGGTTTCAGTGGCCAAAGGGTTTAATCTTTAGTATATACTAAAACCCTAGTTTAAAAATCAAATATTTTGAGTTTTCCTATTCAGGGATATTCCAAAATATGCGTCCCTACTTAAGTAGAGCATGTAGTATAAGATAAAGGGAGAAAGAGAAATTTCAGGTTGATAGTGGCGATTTTTGTGGTTTGAGGAAGTAATAAATTTTGTTCTTATGTTGGGGAAGTGAGTAGTTGTTTGGGCTCATAGTTAAATTTTGGACTTGTGAATGGAGGGACTATGGAAAAGCTCTTAATGAATATGTTTTAAGAAGTCGGAGTAAGGTCAGAGGATTAGTTGAGCTTACCTAATACTTTTGGGGTTCTCGGCCCTATTTTAGAGCCAAAGAAATGATGCAAAGAAAGTAGTTCATGCTCCATCTTCATCGAACATGTCTGTTTTGCAGGAAGATGAATTTATTCAATAATTGGTATTCTTGGAGAGAATAAATTATTTGTGTAGGGATGGCAACTGAGAGTCCTATTAGAATGCTTGAGGCACGTGGAAAATGGTCCCCTCACAAGGGTGGTGCAAATTTTTCTTCAACTAAGATGGCTATGGATGAGGAAGCACTGTATGTTAAGGGTCAAAAGTACCATGGTGGTAGGGGTTCTGTTCCCAATCGAAGTGGTAGTGCACCCCCAAACATGGAAGGTTCTCTTGCAGCCATAGAAAGTCTCATGCAAAATTCAGGTCTTAGTGCTAATTTGGCAAGTCTAAATTATGATGGAGAATTCAGAGGGTCGAAAGGGATGTTAGTTACTTATTCATCTCCTGGTTCGAATTGCCCTTCCAATGTCAGTTTGAATCCCCAGTTTTTTCACTCTCCCAACTCAGGTTTTGATCAACATCTGGGATCCAGTCACGTCGGCAATAAAGTGGGATTGACCCCTTTTAGAGGCAGCAGTGATAACTTCTTGCGTTTATATTGTGGCATCCTCCCAACGCACAATGAGGAATCTGAGGATGATAAGTCACCACAGAAGTCTTCTGATGAAGTCAGGCCCAGGGACCCTGCTGCATTATCAGGACAGGGATCATCCTTATCAGTTGGCGAGGCTGGAAATATTGCAGACCTCGTAAAGGTGTATTTCTCTGTTTCTGATTCTTCAGCATTCACTATTTGAGATAGATTAAAATGACTTGTGGTCTTACCTTTAATTGAGGTCCTCCATCATGCAAGATTTTCTCATACCCTTAGCTTTTTAGGTGAAAGTAATTTGAATAGAAGAATTTGAAAGTCTATTTGTTACATGAATTGCATCTGTGATGTTTGTGTATTCAGTATTCTGTTCATCAGTACTGCTCCATTATCTGATTTATTCTATGGCACTTGAACTCTTCATTTCATCCCAAGTACTCATATTGGATCCTCGATGCTCTGACATGGCTACAGAGACTTAACACTTCATTTAAAACCAAAAATATAGAACCTGATTTAGCTTAGTTTAACTCCTGGACACATACTTGTATCTGACACAACTCCCATAAGTGTCTGAGTCCGAGTAACATAGCCTGACTGTTTGTGTATAGATTCTCAGATTTTGAGACCACTTGCTTTTGCAAAAATTCCTGTTGTATTGTACTCATTTCTGTTTACATTTAAAACTAATCTTTTATTATGAATTTTGTACATTTTCAGGAGGAAATTACATGTATGTCGTCACCTGCAAATGGATCAGCAGGTGACGCAGCTGATCACATTAATGTTGATAAGGGAATCGCTGCAGATGATACGGTATCCGCAACCGCTGCATTGAGATCATTATCTTATGATTCTAGACAAGGCTCGTTGCCGTCCATTCAAAATGAAGATCCAAATAGTATAGGCGCAGTTACAGAAAAAAAGACTTCAGTTAGTAATGATACAGAAATAACTAGTTTGCAAACAGGGATTAAGACTTTGAGAATATCCAGCTCCCCCAACTTAGAGAACCATGGAGGTCGAGGGGAAAAGCAAAACAACTTCCAAACTAATTTATTGCAACACCAGATGCACCAAGGTGGTAACTTCCAGTTTCAAGATTCTATGCCTCAAATAGTTTCTCAAGGCACAAATAACCCATATGCTGTTCCAAACCAGTTTTTCCATGGTGGAAAGTTTTCCTCAACAGAAGTTCAGCCTGTACTTCACTCAGCAGGTTTCACTCCTCCACTTTATGCTACTGCTGCAGCTACATATATGCAATCAGCAAATCCATACTATGCTGGTGTCCAACCACCTGGATTAATATATCCTTCACAGTATGGCATGGGTGGATATCCTTACAATGCAAGCGTTCTTCCTCCTATTATGGCTGGATACCCTTCACATAGTGCTGTCCCTTTAGCCTTCGATGGTGCTTCTGCTGGCTCTGATGTTAATACTCAAGTTTCTGGGTCATGGGGGAGCAGTTCACAAGGAGTCGATTTGCAGCATTTAAACAAGTTCTATGGACAACTTGGATTTCCACAGCCTTTTGTAGATCCGCGTTTGCAATTTCACCAGTCATTAGGTGATTTATACAATGTTCCTGGTCAAGTTGATCCTTTGGGATTGAGAGCGGGTCTGGTGGGGAATCAAGTGAGTGCTTATAATTCCCAGGTTGGGCCTGATTTTTCATCAATTTCACCTGATCATAGACCTCAACTCCAGGGATCTGGTGGGCAGGGTAATGTAAGTCAGAGAAGGGGGCAAATTATGGGTACAGATTATGCTGGAAGCTCACCTAATATGGGCTTCTTCATGCCTATTCCAAACTCATCTCTTACCAGTCCTGTTTTGCCGGGATCTCCAATTGGTGGTAGCAGTCTTCCCGGAGGAAGAAGTGATGTGAGTTCACCAAATTCTGGCAGAAGTGGGAGTTTCTATACTGGTTGGCAAGGTCAAAGAGGATTTGATAACTTCAATTATCAAAAGCCTTACTCTTTCCTTGAAGAGCTAAAATCTGGTAAAGGTAGAAGGTTTGAGCTATCTGATATTGTCGGTCATGTGGTTGAATTCAGGCAAGTTCATGCAGTATGTCATCTTCAGTACAGTATTATTTTAAATCCTTATTTTGAAGTATAAAAGGGATTTTGTACTTATTTTTCAGTGTTGATCAACATGGGAGCCGATTTATTCAGCAGAAACTAGAAAACTGTAGCAGTGAAGACAAGGCATCTGTATTTCAAGAAGTTCTCCCTCATGCTTCCAAATTGATGACTGATGTGTTTGGAAATTATGTTATTCAAAAGGTAGGAATTGCTGAACTATTACCTTGCAATTCCTCTTTGTAAGAAAGAAGTTTGCTTGATTGCATCATTTATGCTTCATTTAATTCTTTATCTTCAATTTACTACAGTTTTTTGAGTATGGAACCCCTGATCAGAGAAGGGATCTAGCCAAGGCACTAGGAGGTCAGATTTTGCCATTGAGCATGCAGATGTATGGCTGTCGTGTCATCCAAAAGGTATATATCAAATACTTTCACCACTGACCTGTGAATATTTGATATAATGACTTTACGTTAAGATATCTCTGTTCTAAGTCTATTTGTTTTTGTTGCTGTACATAAATATCGATTTCTTGTATTAGCATAACTTTCATGTGGGTGAATTGTGTATGTCAAAGTGACTTGATCATGGCAAACTTGTTGAGCAACTGGTTGGATGTCCTCTTTTCTTCCTTCAGACATCTTATACAGTGATTTGTAGATACCTATTATGTCTTAATAGTAATTGATCAAACCCATATAGATCTCTCTATAGGTTTGTACTCAGTGCCTCTGCTGGAGCAGCAAGTATGTTTTAGCAAATTCTTTTCTCCTGTACCGTGGTAGATCTTTTGGGTCAATAGTTGCTTGTGCTCTGGCAAAGGGTTATTTGAGGCTCTGCAATATTGTTATAGAAGACTCTTTTCTAAAAGATTCATCTCTGATACACATACCTTGTTTATGATCCCATCGGTGGAAGGCCAGAAGGGGGTGGGGGATTTACTGTAATTTGATTGGTTTATTATGTCTTTATACATGATTGTGTTGAAGTTTCTCTATATTTTTGGTCAATTGTAAAGGGTATGCTGGATGGGCATGAAAAGGAAAACTGTGCAACCGTAGTATACCTCTAAAGTCAAAGGTAAAATCCTATTAGATCATTGGAATGTTTGGTTTTTAGGAAGGATCATATATGAAAGATGGGTCTAGCAGAGACATGTATGCTGAGATGGATTTGTAGGAATAGAGTGTCATATGATGTTTTTTTTTTTTTTCATATTTATTAGAGGACTGGAGTTGCAAATATTGAGGATAAGACAAGGGAGAACTGATTTTGTTGGTTTCAGCATGTGAGACGACCAAAAGATGCCCCAGTAAGAAAAGGGGAGATTATGAGTATTTTAGAAGCAATGGGATGCCAAAGGATACTTGGATGGAGGGAGTCAAGCGTATGATGAATTAATGAAAGTAGGTTCGCATGAGCAGTGAAAGTAGGTTCGCATGAGCATATAGCAGAATAGCACTCACTAGAAGTGAAAGGAGGAAGAAAATCTGTGTATGGATAGACCCCCCCCCCCCCTCCTCCTCCTCCTCTTTTCTCTGCCCTCTTTACCTTTTTGGTCAAGCCAACAATGGCTTGTGATCTGACTAAGGATATTGAGGCTCTGTGATATGGAAGTGTTTTATGTACATCAATAATATCGGAGGGATTACAATTTATGCTCTGTGCGTTTTTATGTGATGATTGTCCTTTTGTCATTCTTTACGCTGTAATTTTAATGATGCTAAACTTTTGACTACCTGATGATTGTAGTGAACATTTTGTAGTTTATGTTTAGATTTTTGTCAAAGTTTTCCTCTTGGTGCTGTTGTGATTTTTCTTTACTTTGTGTTTACTTACTTTAGACTATACTTCTTTTTTGTTGTGAGGTAGAATCACTCTGATAGTCTGATTTGCCTCCTTGCATTTGTTTTAATCATAAGGGTAACAGCTCTAGGAGTTTACTAATGAGACAAGATTTTAAAAAGTCTGTTGGACAATTGCTGATGTGATACAAAAATATGCTTAGGCTAAATATTGTTTTAAATGTTGATCCAGGCACTTGATGTTATTGAGGTTGATCAGAAGATTGAACTTGTTCGTGAGTTGGATGGACATGTCATGAGATGTGTCCGTGATCAGAATGGAAACCATGTAATCCAAAAGTGTATCGAATGCGTTCCATCGGAAAGAATTAGTTTCATTATTTCTGCTTTCCGTGGTCAAGTTGCTAGCCTATCAATGCATCCTTATGGGTGTCGTGTTATACAGGTGATACATTGTTTCTGGGTAGTAGAGCCTATATAATATTCCTTATTTAATTTTGACATTGCTTATGTTGAATTTTTTCTGATAGAGAGTCCTGGAGCATTGTACAGATGAGTTGCAGAGTCAATTTATTGTGGATGAGATATTGGAGTCTGTTTGCACTCTTGCTCAAGACCAGTATGGCAATTATGTTACCCAGGTTGGTTCTCCCTCTTTAACCTGCTAACCCACTGCACCCGCATCCCAACATATCACATGAATCGTATTTATTATTTATATGATATAGTTGAGTAATGAGAATACATAGAATAAATTTTATTTGACCAGTGGCAGTATGTATTTTTTTGATGATGAGTAACGGGCATTACCTCACCTGTTTATATTATATAGTGAAACAGTGAGCTATTGAGTGTTCCTTGGTTGAAAGATCTAAAGCAATTAAAAATCCTTAGTATAGTGTACAAGGAGCAGATTGTCTCAGATCCTGGTTTTATATGCTTATGGAGAACTACTTATACAAACAATGTTAAGCAACTATTAACGTTGTAGGGGATGAGTTGTCTGCGATAAGGACACTGTATTGGCCGCAATGCAGCATGTATTTCTTTTATGTAGACAGGTTATGCTTATATTGTGCTATTTATGCTATCAGATTGCACGTTATTGTAATCAGTCTCCTTCCTCTTCAGCTCTTCATTAATTTGATTTTCAAATATATCTTTATCTGCTAGCATTTCTCTTGAGTATAACTAGAAACTTGTTACCCTTGCTTATTATTTGTCTTCTTGCAGCATGTTCTAGAGAGGGGAAAAACACAAGAGAGGAGCCAAATCGTTAAGAATCTATCTGGGCAAGTTATAAAAATGAGCCAGCATAAGTTTGCATCGAATGTTGTTGAGAAATGCTTGGAGTATGGTGACCCTGCTTCACGAGAACTCCTGATAGCTGAAGTCATAGGGCAAAATGAGGGAAATGATAACTTGTTGGTAAGCCTATTTAATCTTTTCAACTCGCTCCGTGTTTAGTTGCTGCTGTTGCTGATAAGGCAATTATATAATGGAATTATGGTTCTTATTGAAATCAATAATAATGAGTTTGGTAGTTATTTATGTCTTAAACAACCATTTTTTTCTTTATGACAGAAAAGATGTTGTAGTTGACTTTCAAAATTACGGTGAGCGGCTGAGCGCCCTAATGAATATAAATGGAAATATAATAAGATGAATAGATTCTCTTCGGAACAAAAAATAAAAAGATTATAGGAAAAAATAAAAGAAGAGCGATAGAGATGAATATATGGCAGGTGAATACTGTATTCAATGAAAAGCCTTTGAATCTTAGATGGAAGGAATTTGAAGTATATATTCAGTGTTATTATAGAGTATAATGTGATTACTATGGGATACAGGTAATGATGAAGGACCAATATGCTAATTATGTGGTCCAAAAGATTCTTGAGAAGTGTACCGATAATCAACGTGACCTGCTACTTGGTCGTATAAGAGTGCATCTCAATGCTTTGAAGAAATACACTTATGGAAAGCATATTGTGGCTCGTTTTGAGCAGATGTTTGGAGGTTTGTTTCCTTTCCTTGTTTAACATGTATTAGATCTTCTCGTCACTTGCTGTTCATTGCTGAATGCCAATTGCTTAGATACTTTTCCAGTCATTGTTAAAATATGCATATTTTTTGCGAGACACTAACATTGGAATATTATATACTGTAGAATATTTCATACAGTTTTATTTTATGTTATCAGAACCTATGTCCAACAATTTCCCAAAATCTACAGTAAGGCATCAATGCAAAAGTGTTACTACTCACCATTCACTCACCATTTGCACATGTTTTGAAGCGTTATAGTGTTGCAATAATGATCCACGAACGTTCATGTTATCTTTTCTTATTTTTCTGCTCCATCCCTTTGGAAATAACAAGTAACAATGTAAGAATGGACATTATGGAGCAGTTATTGTTTTATTCATATGATACCCTACATCATGGATAATTGGCATCTGTATAACCATGCATTGGGGTACCGTATGGGTTTTTACTCGAGTATCAATAAATTTAAATGTTTGTATTGCTAATTTCTGCAAGTTACAGAAATTCAAGCACAAGGATCCTGAATGTTGACGGAACTGTGGAACTGACTAGGATTCAGCAGCTGCAGAACGAATTGACTTCAGAATGTAGATAAAAGAAGATGTCATTTCTTGCATTTGGAGGAGTTGGTGGTCTGACAGCTGATGTTGTACTTCTATCATTCCCTCTGTTAGGGACTTAGATTCTACAGAGAACTTTAGGGTTGATGCTGTAAAGTTTAGTAAATTTGTGTATACAACAGAATTTGTGTAGTTACAGCCTTACAGGAGCTGGAAATTATCTGGGCGCGTCGTTACAGAAGATTTAATGTACTATTGGAAAGGATCATTTTCTTTGCTGTTTTGTTTTTGTTTTTCACTGTTATCTCAGTTGATCACTTTTGGAAAGTTGCTGTTAAATTCCTGAATGTGCTTTACACAATTGCATACTGGCTTAATTCTGAGAAGTCCGTTGAAAACACCGTAACGAGGATGAATTATACTACTGTAACTATCCCTAAAGTAAAACTATTTGCTTCTAAAAGGACAATCTGTATTTTGTTTTCAATCACACACAAAAAAAAAAATACGAGTATGACACAGAATGCGACAATCTTAAGGGATAGGAATAACAAAATTACAAATTTACAATTATTATTCACTTAGTCCTCTAGATCCCATTGATCTTTCTACAATTTCCTATATTATTGTGAACTGTGATGCAATACATGGACAAATAATCTTTTGATAGCCAGTTAACTTAGACGAGTAATACTACATCCGATTCAATTTACTCGCAACAAAGGGGTATTATTTGTGAGACATAAAAAATTCCCTTGTTGCGAGTAAATTGGACCGGAGGTAGTATATTTTTTAAGAAAAAACTTAGACGAGTAATATAAAATGACATAAGAAAACTCATGATACTGCACAATGAACCTAATCTGTAGTCTCATTGTATAAAAAATCAGGGGAAGGTGTGGGTATGCAATGAAAAGTAACAGTCCTTCATGACTGTTCTATTCTTCCACATTTCTTGAATTCTAAAAAATATAAAAAATACATTAAAAATGCACTAGAAATCTCAATTTAAGCTCAGACATGGAAAATAAAAGCTCAGAAACGAGATTTGCGTTTACGAGCAGTGTACTTTGTATCTGCAGGCACTTCGGCACCCTTTCTTCTCATCTGTTCTTTTTTTTGAATAACCCAATCCTTTCCTCTATTCTTCTTGTCCAGCTTCCTCTTTTTTCGAGGCCTATTCCTGTCCGAGACTGTAACCTGTATGTATAGAAACAGAAAACTAGCCATGAGACATTGAATGAACAAAAACCACATTTGACAAGTGGTTGCAGATCATGAGAAGACTGCAAAGACTGAGTTTTCCAAACTAACCGTATGATTTTCTTCATCTCCACTACTTTCATCATCAGAGCAACTCATTCCAGCACTTAAGGATGGTGGACCACAAGTGAGAACAAGGTATTCTTTTCGACTTTTAGTACTGTCATAAGGCAATAGGTCTAATATTAGCTTAAAATCAATTTTTTAAACTTTGTAATATTTCAAAGTCAAACCTTATTGTTTATAAACACTGTAAAAAAAAAAAAAAAAAAACTCTAAAATGAGCAAAACAATGTTTATTTTTTAGTTTTTTTTAGAAATTTACTTAACCCACAAGGAATCCTTAAGTCATATAGATGGAATCCTGAGAGCTTTGCCCGAAGAGAAGCCACCACAATGCCTTAACTACATAAAGATGAGGGTGATGATAGTTGGTCCCATAAACTCATGGTTGGGAGGTGAGAGCTCTACTGTTAGGCTCCCCAGTGGATACTCAACAAGGGTATATCATCTTGCAAGCAGAAATATCTAAATAACATTTTAAAGTATGCAGAGTGATATTACAATCAGCAATTGATTCAGCATATGCATGGTCAGAGTAATTCATACATTTCCAGGATTTCCCATAAAAAGCTAGTCGCCTATGATAAAAAACTGACAACGTTAACATAAGTTCAATATAAGATTATAAAGGTACTTAGTATCCATCAGCAGTACAAAAAAGACAAACTTTACCTATGAGGATAGTCAACCACTACACCACCAGCAAATCCAGCACGCATTGCGGAATCTAGGATCAGCTCACGCTGAGCTACATTTTGGGGATACACCTGAAGAACTGCTCTAGCTCCTCTTGCTAGGGACCTATATAATGATCCAAAGAATGCCCTGCAATCCAAAAATGTTTTGATTACCAAAAGCGCAATTTTTTTTTTTTTTTTTTTGGGGGGGGGGGGGTATGGGGTAAGCATGTACAATGCGATATCAACCAGTAGGCATCAGTGTGTACAAAAGAGGCATGATTTATGATGAAAACTTCTTGTCTATTTCGACTTGGCCAGCCAACAGGTGGGCACACATATGAAAAACAAAAAACAGAAGTAATTAGAGATAAATTAAGGATGAAATAACCCGTACTTCAGTCTCAAACGGGGCTCGTGAGAGGACTTGTCAGCATTGCATAACCACTGCTTGATCAAAATAAAATAGACAAAATGATAAGCACTCAAGTGAGGACCTCATATGACTAATATGAGTTAGACAAGCGAAAACAGAAATTATAATAAACTAAGCTTAAGTTCAATTAATACTTCTAATTTGACAGAAATAATTGCATCAGTCACTTTCATGAAACATCAAATTTTAGGTTACAGTTATGTGAGAAGACGTTCCTAGTTTTCCCCTGAATCTTACTTTTATATTAAAAAAAAAAAAAAAAAAAAAAAACAAATAAATATAAAAAATGAAACATAAAATATCAATTTGTACTTTATAATCTGAGCATCAAAGCCTTGTTTATTTCACCTCATAAAAAATAGATGTTAGAAAAAAGTAGTCCAGAATTTCAGATAAGGGTCAAAACGATTATATAAGACTTACCAAGTTCAATTCACAGCTAAAAATAAGTTAATAAGTCCAGTTATGGGCCAGTTATGAGCATTATTTGGGTTGGCCATGAATCAAATGAGAAGACCTTTATTCTCTAGTCAGCGTTGTTTTAATTCCAATAACGAGTTTTCATCAAAACAAAAAAATTGAAAAAAATAAAAATAAAATAAAAAAACAGGCATGAACCTGGACGGCTGAAATACTAATTGCACCATCAATAACTCCCGGACGGAATCCTAACCCCTGCAGTAAATTTATAGAAACAGGTCAGATAGAAAGCATATTTAATAGGTGGCATATTTATCATTACAGCAAGTAGTGAGTTAAACAGAAGATCATATTTTGGCAATCCAACATAGAAACAAGTGTTAGCAAACTTTAAAAATGCTTTCTTTTTTAAACTCCCATCAGTATGACTAGTCAATTTGACAATTCAACCTAAACTCCTACAATTCCTAGAGAAAAAACTACTTATCACACCAGAACATCATTCCAATAATCCACACATATGACTATATTGCTAATTAGCTTTCTAGAAAGTCATTAATGAAAGAACAGATTGCTACCATTGATCACCAAATCAAATGATACAAAAGACACCCATTATCCATTCACAAAGCCAAACATATGAGAGTAAAGTACTAAAGTTTGTCAAAGAAATGTATGCCTAAGTTCCTAATACCCATGTTATCAGCAAATCATCAGGAACCGGTTCTAAAATTCGTTATGCTTAAACCCCCTAACCCACCAGGAGCTGAGGAGGGGCGCCCGCCGGGGGGTACATTGTGGCAAGTTGATTTCACAAGTCTCATCACTTAAATCTCCCTTTATCATTTTATACACTCATTTTATCAGATAATACATGTCATTTCATCAGATAATACAAGAACAAAAGTAAAAGCCCTCTAAGACACTTCTTAGGCTACACTTACCTAATAACAACAAACTTTGGAAAAATTTCTCACGTTAACACTCTTCTTTTCACCCAAACAACAAAACAGTTCAAGAAGATATTGTATTAAGCAACAACAGTCCATAATGTTGAATAACCAAAAAACCCCTTCTCCCTCTCTCTTGGAAGAAAATTGGTATTGCAATCAAGGATAGCACAAAGTTACCTGACCCATATCTGCATGAAGAAGATCACCATCAACCTCTCGCTCAACGGCTACATCTGGCATAAGCATAAAAGTCAAAGTTAAAAATGATTGAAGCAGCAATTATACTGAAGATTAAATGAAAGCAATAAGAAAATCAATTGAGATACCCAGCATTGCCTCTGAAATATCTAAACCAATCCACTGATGCCCACTCTCGGACAGAGTTTCTCCACTCAGCCCTGATCCACAACCTACATAGAGAAACAAGTAAATGAATAACTTTAACAATGCTACAGATCTGAATCAAGCATGTATGCATGATATACAACTGATACAAGACGGAAACTTCATGGATCCAGTTTCCTTGAGATAAAAAACGTAGACAAAGAAAGAATTGTGTGAAAAACATATATACATACATCCACACATTGCAGATTGAATGCTTCAGTTGAGTGTCATGAGGTTATAAGTCATAACATAGTATTTTAACTATACCATGCTAAATGCAACTATACAGTCTATTCGCATTTTATCAAGCTTGTTATAAATACAAAACACGGTATAAATGGTATTGCTCATCCTATATACTCAAATAACACTTAGTAATGAGGCTACATCTTTTGTAGATGTGAAGAAATTCAAGTGAACAAATAAACAAAAATGCAATTAAAGATTAAAGTGAAAAAAACATAATTCACGTATTCATGCCCATTTCATATTACAAAAAGGAAATTAGTTCTCCAGAAATTAGCTATAAGTTGCAGTAATATATGATACCAATGTCAAGGAGCAATCTGGGGACTCCGTCATCGGGCAAGGCGAGTAATTCTAATGCTCTTTCAGACAACTTTGCCTACAAGAGAGTGTCCAAAACAAAAGGTTATTTGTGAAACAGTGAATCTACATACATAGTTAATCAAACATCAAATGATATTAAGCCTAAATAAAAACAAAGGTCTCAACTTTTCATCTGACATTTTCTTGGTTCACCCCATTGCCGTGGCAACAATCATAAAGGTTTAGCTAAATTACCAAATAATCAAGTCCTCCCCATAAAAGAAAATGGTCTAAATTCTAGAAACCAGAAAATGCAGGCAAGTCAACTATTATATTTCAATTATAAGGTACAAGATGACAAATGAAATTATAGCTGACCTTTACTTTTGCCTTTTTTTTCCCTGATTGATGGAAGACAATCATAAATTGTTTTCATTCTATATACACGAACAGAGGTTCAGATTTATGAGTTAATTTTACATTTTAATCCACAAACTTTGAACATTTTAAAAAAAAAAGGAATTAGATGAAGATTCGATAAAAATGGGCTGCTAGGATTGAAAAGTAAAATTAAATTAAAACACACACACACACACACACACACACACAAATGGTTTTAATGATTCCATATATATCCACAATTCAACACCCATATTTAAATAATCCAAACCAACAGTAAGCTCACAATATAACTATAGAGGTAAATTTTGCTAGCCTACAAAACTAACCCACTCCTAACTTATCACTTTTTTGGAATAAAAGCCTCAGTTGAGCTCTTAGGCGCTCGATTACACCCTTTCTATTTTATGTAAATGCAAAATGTAATTATATAAGTGAAGTTTGCTAGCCTACTACGGAGTAAATTACTACACCCCTCTAGAATTGCTTTTCCATAATAACACCACAATTACGTTAGTGGGAGCTCAATTTATAAACACCTAATTTTTACTTAAGGATTTGGGTGAAGTTTGCTTGCTTACTAAACTACTTCCCCTTCACTAGAACCCGTAGGAGTTTAATACTTCGATTCGTTAACACCCGGTTTTCCTTATTCAACATAAAGGATCATCAAATAGCCAATTAAAGCTTGTAATTTGCACCACCAAATACAAAGGATTCACAACAATCTGGCAACTCAAACAACCAACTTAAAAGTACAGTAATCAAATTACACATAGCATCTAGAATTAACATAAATTGAATCAAAATACAATCTTAATAAACACATAAATTCAACATTTTATATCAGAGTAATTAATTGAATTACACTAATCAAACCTCAAAATCTTGCAAAAAGATCAAATGGGTAATAAAAAAATGGGAAAAGAATTACTGGGTACAATTCTAAATCAAATTTTGCACCAGAAATTAAGAATATAAATTAAGAAGACACTGAGATTGAAAAGGGGGAAAAGGGAAGGTGGAGGAGAGAGAAAAGGGGACCTGAATATCGATGATTCGAGAAGAAGAAGTGTATTTGCGAGCTTCTGATTGGTCGTAGAAAATCTCCGGCGGTGCTAACAGCTCAGGCCTCGCCGCCATGGTTGTGTAGGAGCTGAGGAGAGAGAATGTTGAATGTTGCTGCTGCTTAATGCTCATGTAGTTGAATGAAAAGAGGGGTTTTGGGTTTTAGCCTTAATTTACCAAACGATGTCGTTTTACAACCCTTCTCTCTCTCTCTTTTTTTTTTTTTTTCTTTTTTGACAAAAAGGAAAAGAAAGCCGACTAGGGAATTGGGGTGCTAATTGAGCGAGTCGACCATGAGCAGAAGGTTGTTCGACTCGTGCTCGTTAATTTTCGTGTCGAGTCGATCAAGAACTGCTCGTTTACTGGTTTAAATCTCTTGAATTTCAAATATTTGTTGATTATATTTAATTATCTGTATATAAATTTTTTATACTTAAGTTTATTTACTAAGTATCTAAGTAAAATTTTGTTTTTAAAGATAGAAGAATAGAAAAATATTGAATTTGTTGTACACTTATCGAGTTTTCGAGCTGATTTGAGCGAGCATGAGCAAACTCAAGTCGAGTTTTGACGGAGCATTGACCGAGTTGAGTTCGAGCTACTCGCGAATTGGCCTGTTCAATTAGCACCCTTAGAACTACTAATGTTAGTAATGTATCATGGAAAAAAAATTAAATAATTCTGTCATATATCAAATAAAGTTATTATTATAAACATTAATTCTATATCTATAAGGGTTGAAGACAAATGGCTTATACTAACGATCCAATAGTAACAATTTCGGTTCTAACATTTAGGGTTTTTTTTTTTACCATTTGGTGAATAGTAGAGAGTAATTAAATTTAACACTAAAATCTCGTATATTTATAGCCTTAATATATAGATCACTTGTTTCTCCCTATTTAATGCAGCTTTTTACATCTAATAGTCATGGGTGGATAACATTCGATGAGAGTATATATCGTGATTTTTTTTTATAATCATTTTTATCTTTAACCGAATTAGTTTGAATTGAACTTTTAAGTTTTCAAGTGATACCAATTGTGACCAAAAGCACGCATGCATTCTCATAATAAATAGTGGAAAGACATTGTAACAAACTAGCCTTTTATAATCAGTTGACGGGAGAGTGAGGGATAGTTCAAGTGGTCAGAGTTCCCCTCCCGATTCCAAGAGATCTTGGGATCGATTCTCATCACCCGCCCTTGTGGCTCTCTAAGCAAAAAAAAAAAAAAAAAAAGTTGACACTCTTAACCATTTTTCAGGGTGGTTGATTTTATTTTTATTTTTTAAAGTTCATCTTCATGACTATTTCTTGTAGGTAACGCAAGCATTAGATTTTCAAAATACATATCTAGTTTCATGCAAAATCACTAGCTGGTGAATAGTCACCATCTATTGTTTGAATTCATATAACTCAATATTCTCACTAAGCTAGCTTATATTTGAATTTTGAAGTAATAATTCAATAATCAAAATATATAAATTCATATTGTTTTACATTATTATTTTTGCACATACTAATTATATGTCTTACTTTGATCGATTAAATTGTACATACACTTACAATCATAAAAGTCAATATTAAATTAAACAACATAAAAACGAAGAGTAAAGCGTATATACCCCTAATACAAGTTACATTGCGGAAAAATATCATTAATTAGGAGTTCAATTCTTACTTAGCATCTGAATTAATCTTCACTTTATTATCAAAACGAAATACAATTTAATTGCCTACACAATTAATCCAAATCCAAAATAAAAAAATTTCAAGGCTTCTTAAGAACTCTGCCAGCAAGTAAAGCAGCTTCCATTACTATTTTAATGACTTCAATAACATCGTTAGCATTGCATGTACTGCCTTTGAAAGTACGTCCTCCTGCTGCCTTAAATCTGTCCATGCAATCTATGAATTTTTTGCTGCATTCTTCACTTAGATAATCATCTGCATTTTTCATTATTTTCAATCCATCTATCAACGTTTTTTTCATGAATATGTCGAACTAACAAAACAAATTTGATGCCACCATCGGCCACATAATATATTACAATATACTAGGCACGTTACACGACTTTGCGTTGTGTCATATATATACATATAGTGCATTAGTGCATGTACAAATGTACCTGACTTAAAATTTTGTTATTCCCTTCTATTGATTTTGAAGTAATCTCTTTTCTTACTCTAATTTAATTTTATAGTCTTCCCTTCAATGTTGAGGATAACATTAACACCTAGAACAGAGTTGTTTGGGCTTATTATTATTATTATTATTTTGAAAAAAAAAACTAATTAAAAAAATGCACCTTGATCATTATTAATTATTGGAGTTGAAGTAATAGTTGCTTGAGACGTTTGATTACATCATGTACGTCAAACTTAATTTGTGTAGGCTAAACATTGACTTATACTCCTTATAAAATGGTAAGGTCAAACTTAATTTGTTGCATGATTTGGGGTTTTAATTATTATATTAATTAATGGTGATTCACACAAAAGCTAGCTAATTAGCATAATAGAGTGATTATGAGAAATATAATATGGAGTAGCAATTTTTTGTATGGTAAGGTTTTACCAAGATATTGATTATGATCTGATAAGGGTGATGACCAAAAGTTGTACTACGTATTAATTATTAAGTACAATATCTAAGTGTTAAAAGGAATTGAAGAATGTAGGCTGGAAAGATTTTGGCACAAAATCTATAAAAAAAAAAACCCTAATTTATAGTAATGTAAATTGTACTCCATAGTTTAATCATTCAAATTAATTATTTTTTTATAATTGTGTTGACATGAATACATGATAATAATTTTTGCAAGTACTGACAATGTAGATGTGAAAATGCAACACTAACTACTACAGTCAAAACTAATACACCCCTTAATTGCATAATTAAAAAAGGCCTAGATATTTAGTTTATTTACCATACAATCGTTTGCACCTTTTAAGATCCAACTAAGGTTATCATTTCGCCTATCTACTCGATAGGGTTTAGTACATTAAAAACGAAATAAATAGTCTTAATTGTACCATGCACAAGATACAACCGGTTGTTTATGATAAATTACGCTTATACTCGTAACTTCATAAGAAACAAAAAAAATGAAAATCAGAATTGACTTACTGCCTTTAGCTTGGACACAAATGTCGTGGCTCATACAACAACCATCCAACCCATCACATGGCTTCTCTCCTGGACATCCACTGTATAGAAGTCCACAATATTTGCCATACCTCAAAAATGGAGGCACTGTATGTATAATTCAAATTTAATCATTAGTTTCTCATAATATAAGGCGTAATTTGAACTACAGCGTGACAATTAATTCTGAACATAGGTAGAATTTTGTATTATAAAACGAACTGTTGCGTATAATAATTGAAATTTAATAAATTTACCTGAACAAAATTCAGATTCACATTTCCTACTGCATTCTTTACTCTGTAGAAACAATATTAACCAAAAAACACATAATATTATTATTACCGTGTAACTAATTTCTTTTATATATGAAAAAAAAAACAGAGTAAAAAGAGAGATTTATTACCAATTGAAGAGAGGATTGAACACCAATATTAAGAGCATGGACTTGAAAATTAAGAGAAAAAAGGAAAAAATATGGGAGTGCTAAAAAAGCTAATTTCAAGGAAACCATAGTAAAAAGATTTTTGCAGAGGAAAGATTAAGGGAGAAAATAATGAAGGAGTTTAAGAAAAAAAGCTCTAAAATTGAACCAACTGAAAACAGCTTATTTTGAATGGCTCTGATTTATGAGTACTGTGTTAAGTCAGAAAGAGAGAGTTTTGTCTTTGTGTTACTCGTGACATCTTTTTGGGAGTATGTACTATAATAATAATGAAATTTGTATCATATATTATAATTAATTATAATAATATAGTAGAGTATAATATAATCTTAATCTTTTGTAGTTATATAATAATGTGTTTAATAGTTTGATTAGGAGTTTGTATAATTGTATTATTTAAATTAGTGTTAGTTGTAGGGTCTTGATTGATTGATTAAGGGTAGCTTCTAAATTAAAACATTTTTGATTGATTGATGGATGATTAAGGTATAATTCCGACAATAATCCTTCTATATCTCTCTTTTTAAAGATTTTTTTTTCTATGTTTATCACATTGATTTGCATGGACATCTAAACTTGATGGATTATATAATGGACTTGTTATACCAAACGTCACAAGCTGGTGGATTTCCAAGACTAATTCAAACTACAAATCCAGTAGTAGGTAAAGAAATTGAAATAATTAAGATTTGGCAGCTAGTTTCTAATACTGCGATCAATTGCATGCTGGCTCACTTGGTTTGTTTGATTTGGTGGTTAGTTACTTCATATAGCATATGCAACCAATTGTACTGTTGATTCACTTGGCCGGTTTATTTGTTTGATTAGGTCATTGATAATTCATAAATTAACGGCTAAAGGCTAGCTTTTGTCAACCAATTATAGTATTTCTTCATAAACTATGTACGTTTCATAATAATGATATTAGCAAATTAATATTTTGACACTATTCACTATAACCTTCATTTAGATCTGACCAATATTTCATTGTTTGTGTCTTATAAGTTACAAGTAAGGAAAGATAGAGCCAATTGGCATCTTATAAATTTGTGTTGAAGGCCCATCGCAACCAAAAGTGTAAGTTAATGATTGAACTCCAAGATCGGTTTATATACTCTATCACGTTCCTTTACATGAGAGTCCTTTGGACTTGAAATCTAGATGAAGCATGAGCCCTCCTCATATCCAATGCGAAATAATCCACTTGAAAAATGGGGAGTGGATGATATTTGACCCCGTGACGACCTTAGTGTCATATAGGCTTTGATACCATATATATTAGAAATAAATTGAGCTTGATAAAAGGGGGGCAATAGGTCGCGTTGTCGGATAACAGTATCGACACCCCGATACGCCGTTGTGAGACCCGAAACAAGCTGAGTTACAAGACGGTTGTCCGATACTTGAGCACCAACATTTTTCAAGTGATCAGCCAGAGATTTGAGGCGCTAGCAATAAGCCGAGGCATTCGGAAAATTCTCCATTTTAGTAGTACAAATATAATCAAGGCTATGTACAAATAATGTAAAATTCCAAACTATTGTGTAAAGTATATATTAAGAAAGAGTACCAGAGTAGGAATATAACACGAAGTTTTTCACTTTCAACAAAAACCAATTGATGTTAGCACACAACTATCATGATTAGCTTAAATGTTGCTAAGCACGTATTTCAAATTTGTGACGTGAATAAAAAATGGGTAACTATGAGTTATTTTTTTATCATAACATCAATCCGAAATATGTGTCAATAATTATAGACAAACTTATAGCTAGATCAGAGTCGTAGAGACAATCTAAAGTTTAGTTGATTAAAGACGATGAATTTCCCTAAAGTAGCTAGCTTAGCTTAGCGCTAAAGTCTTAAGGTCTGCCAAGAGCTTTCCCAGCAGCTAAAGCAGGTTCCATGACAACTTTGATGACTTTGATCACCTTCCTTGCATCACATTTGCTACCATTGAAACCACGTCCTCGTGATTTCGCAAATCTATCCATGCAGTTTATCAAATTTCTGCTACACTCTTGGCTTAGATAGTCATCTGCATTCATTATATGGTATAGGTCACAATCTTGAGAAAAGACATTTCTAATTTAGTAATTTTGTTCATGTATTGTATGGTGAAAAAATAATTAGGTAAGTAAATAATAAATGATACGGAGTACTTTAAAATAAATAATTACTGGTAAGTCAAATCATTAAATTATGATAAATTTGAAAAAAAATTGACTTACTATTTTTCCTTGAGATACAATTGTCATGTTCCATACAACAAGTATCAAGCCCATCACACGGCTTCTCTTCAGGACACCCACTATACAGAAGTCCGCAGTATTTGCCATACCTCAATAAGGGAGGTGCTGTAAAATTAATGTTTGAATCATGGAGTGTGATATTTTATATGTTAGAAATCCACCTTTAAATTTCAATAATACAAGTAATTAGTTAATTAAGAAATTAATTAGCAATATTATTAGTTTTAATTATATAAATAAATCAAATACTTAATATCACTACAATAATTAGTCAATAATTAAGTTTTATTCAGTAAAAATAATTAATCTTTTTATGTAAAAGTTGGTAACTCCAAATCCGAACCACTTAAAAGCAAAGAAACATGGAAAAGGTATAGTAATCACAGTTTCTAAAACATGATTTGGTGGTAATGCTTAGATTATTTCAAACATACTCCCTTTAAAAACATAATTGGGTTATGTTTAGGTTTGTTTAAATAATAAAGTTTTATTTGATTCAATTTGTTATATACTTGTATTTGTTAAACCAATTCAGATTTTTTTTTATAAGTACATATAAACTTTATTTAAAAAATGAAATGGTATGTACAAAATTGATGGAATGATTAAAACTATTATATACACGATGATACATAAAACTTTAATTATAAAATAATTTAACAATATATATATGACTACCTCTTATGCAAAAAAAAGGTATAATCTTGACAAAATATGAGTAATTACCTTCACAAAATTCAGATTCACACTTTCTACTGCATTTTGTACTCTGCGATTAATGACAAATTATCCATTAAACACATATAGTAAGATCTCATAATTCATCATCATCATAACACTTTGCAACATAATTTCCTTTTTAAGCCTCTAATTTTCTCAACACGCAACTTTTTATGGATAATGATGTACAGTAGATAAATAACTAGTACATACACACGTAGTCTTAACTCTTAAGGGTTAAAAGCAACTAGTACAAGCTAACACCGAAAATTAACATTAATAACACTGATCGACAACCCAGTATTTAAATTTGTACATAACTATATATATTATGCAAATAAGAGATCAAAGATAGAGAATTACCACAAAAGGGAGATGAATCAGATGACTTGTATGATAAAAATGTTCAACACCAATATTAAGGGCATTCACTGAGATCCCATCAAAGTTGAGAGACAATAAAATGAGAAAATATGAGAGTGATAAAAGATGAACTATTTTCAAGTTTAAACCCATAATTTTTATTTCCTTTGTGAGCAAAAGTTGAAAAAAAAAAAAGAAAAAAATCAAGAAACTTGTTGAAGTTAAAGCTTTTTCTAAGAAAAGAAGAAGAAGCTTTAACTTTTATTTCATTCAACCAACTGAAAACAGCTAGCTTATTAAATAATTGTACTTGAGCATTATTAATAAAGATGAAAAGGACTATATTATTTGAATTTTGTTTATTTTTGGTTATATTTATTTTTTTGAAACTGATGAAGGAGACAATACGTGTGTTCTCCATCAATAAGGTTGCTGTGTTTATAAGCACATATAGATACCATGATGCGTTTGGTTAGGCGGTTAAGAAGGAATTGTATCATGTTAATGTTCTCTCTAAATTATTGAAATACTAATTAACCTTATCTTTGCATGAATGTACCCAATAGTTGCCCACCTTAGCCTAATTAATATATCCCATATTGAATTATTGGTCGGATTAGGGTGTATTTTATAAACCTGATTGATATCGAACTTATTTGAATTGAGGTTGATTATTAGACGACCTTTATAGATAATATTTTAGCTATAAACAAGTTTAGGTCATGTCGTGTACTATACTTGTATCAATCAGCAACGGAGGAAGTATATGCATCCTAAATATGTGGTGCTTAAAGTCGTGTCATTAGATAATGTAATCTAAATCATAAATTAAAAAACTATCATAAAGCAAAAGTGATTAATTAAAACTGTACCTACACTAGTTTTGCCCAAAATATCAATAAAATATCTACTAGTTACCATCACGTAAATTTAATTAAATGTATTAATAGCTCTTTAAAAGCTCATGAAACAGGACAATGAAATCACAGTCAATATAACAATGACATCTTTACAATTAAGTTTAAATCAAACTTTTAATGGATTTTCTTCCAACATTGGCTCTATTATTAGATGATAATTCTACGTCCAATATTAATTTGAACGACTAGTATTGCCTTTATTATTGGTTAATTGGATCTTACATGCACATATATATGACTACGTACCAAGACTATCAAGTCTCAATGTAATATTGTAATCCACTAATTTTCATAAATTAAGGGATTAAATGACATGTGTGATTAAGGAGTGTTAGCCTGGTAGGTGGGAACAGGAAAAGTGAGGGTATTTTGGTCTACTCGATAAAAGTTAGTAAGCCTCAACTTAAAAATATAGTTCGCCTAGGTTATTTGGATGTAGTGGTGTATCCAGGATTTCCGAACTGTGGGTTCGGAATTTTAAAAAACAAACGATGCTCATATATTAATCAAATATTCAATACATAAGTTCAAATTTTTTATTGCAAATGGATGGATTAAACAGTTACAAAATAAAAACAATAATAAAAAAAAAACCTACAAAAAGCATTTTTCGAGTTTTATACTTTGAAAGCGTGCTAATACATTAGTACTTCTATAAATGATAAATCTATAATTCTATTGCAAAAAAATCAATATTACACATAAAACAAAAATCCCAAGTACCCAATAAACACAAATTTGACAATGGAAATTTTTTCTAATTATCAATTAAAAGACCAAGTAAAAATTTTAAATTCTAAGTTTCTAAAATTCAATTTGTCAACAATTCGAATATTCAACAATATATCAAAACTAATTAAACAAATCAGTAATTAATCTAATTATTACTAATTTACAAACAAATAAAAATTTAAGAATTAAGAGGAGTAGAGGAATAAGAGGACTGTTGAAACTAATACGTACTAAAGGATAATAATAATAATATTATTAGATAAGTATAAAGCAAGTAAAATAAGAAACTCAATAATATTTCTTCATGCTTAATTCACCAAATACAAGAGCCATATATGTAGGCTAACAAACAAAAAATAATAAGCTAAAAAACTGGAAGTATAATGCCATGTTTAAACCCACTAAATAAACTCATTAACTTCTAAATTCATTTGAACTATGGACAAACTCAGGAAGAACAACGGAAGAAATCGAAAGGAAAGAAAAATAATAAATAAACAAAAAAATAAATGAGGGCAGCTGGTCTCGGACCCATGATCTAAGAGGAGCCTCACTACTTTATTAGTCACTCCCTTACCAATGTGTCAGACTTACATATTTGGTTATTTACTTCACCAAAAATTGTTTTAACCTTATTTTTTTTCTATCAAAACTTGTATTTTTTTTCAAAAAATATGGGGGTTCAATGAGCCCCCTTGAACCCCCCCTAAATCCGCCCATGTTTGGATGTCATGTTGATGTCATAGTTGTCACTGGTTTTCATGAATAAAGATAAGTTTCACTCAACAAAAATTAGTTTAAATTCTTACTTTGTTTATTTTACTAGACATCGAACGAAGTATAGTTTTAATTCAACTATATCTAAATAGAAAATTGAAGTACGAAGTATATTGAAAAGCAATTGCAATGAGAGAAAGCGAAACAAATATAATTAATTGAGGGGTGTGCGTGAGACCTTGGTTTTATAGTAAGAGGAAGAGAAAATAATAAAATACTAATAATGAGCTCGTGTCATAAGAGAGAGTGTGGATTAAAATAAGAATAATATGAATGAAATGAAGTAAGAATTCAACTACGGAGTAAATGGTGTAAGAGAGAAAATCCGAAAAAAAAAAGGAATATGAGATGAAACTCTAGTAAAGATAATACTTTACATCAATAAAAAAGTAATATAATTTATTATTTGGAGAAAAATATGTCAATTATAAAGTATAAACTACATAATCATTAAAACATTATGATAGTCATATTTTAAATGACGATCACTATACAATTTTCAATCACTTTAATTTGTTTTTATTCCAAATTTAATTAATAATCAAATGCTAAAATTACAAATCTTCAAAGGGAGGTGGATTTAGCTCATAACATACACTTAGTATTAAAATAAAAAAAAACTATATTAATAATTCTTAAATTGAACCCATTCAATTAATTATCAACTTATCCAATACCTCACGCCTCAATATAGTCTCATTCGATCGTTAATACTCCATGTGTTTTTATTTAAGTGTTTCCACTTTGACTGAGCATGTATATCAATTTTCAATTATCAATAAAAATAAATTACTCCGAATAAAAAGTAAATATTCAAAAATTATACATCAAGATGACTCCAATATATGCTCAAATGATTAAATTTATTCTTAATTGTATAAATTTAGATACATTAGTCAAAGTTGATGATACGAATAATGCAAAAAGGTTAGTACGAGACATTTAAATATAAATGGACAAACATTCATACCCAGGGTGTATTAGGGTCCATGGAAATCATCTCGTCAATTTTTATTTCCGGGTCTAAAAAAGTGAAAAATTGTCCAAAATCGAAGGCTATAATATACGATTTCAAGTCATTTTTTGACATTTTTTCGAAAACTGAACTGAATATGTGGGGTGACTCCCGGGGTCATATAAGGTGGTTTGAAACCATAACACACCTATAAAGATGTCATATGACTCCAATATATGCATACGTGGGGTGACTGTTTAATTAAAACAAAGCATTGCGATGGTCCCTGCGGATGTTAACGCAATGTGATTTCTGCCAGTGCTCTGAATGTCAAAGTGAAGAAATTCAACCAAGCGCGGGTAAACGGCGGGAGTAACTATGAATCTCTTAAGGTAGCCAAATGCCTCGTCATCTAATTAGTGACGCGCATGAATGGATTGACGAAATTTCTACTGTCCCTGTCTACTATCTAGCGAAACCACAGCCAAGGGAACGGGCTTGGCAGAATCAGCGGGGAAAGAAGACCCCGTTGAGCTTGACTCTAGTCTGACTTTGTGAAATGACTTGAGAGGTGTAGAATAAGTGGGAGCTTCGGCGCAAGTGAAATACCACTACTTTTAACGTTATTTTACTTACTCCGTGAGTCGGAAGCGGGGCAATGCCCTTCCTTTTAGACCTAAGGTCCGCTTTGCGGGCCGATCCGAGTGGAGGACATTGTCAGGTAGGGAGTTTGGCTGGGGTGGCACATCTGTTAAAAGATAATGCAGGTGTCCTAAGATGAGCTCAACGAGAATTGAATTCTCGTGTGGAACAGAAGGGTAAAAGCTCGTTTGATTTTGATTTTCAATACGAATACGAACCGTGAAAGCGTGGCCTAACGATCCTTTAGACCTTTTGAATTTAAATCTAGAGGTGTTAGAAAAGTTACCACAGCCCACAGGGATAACTGGCTTGTGGCAGCCAAGCGTTCATAGCGATGTTGCTTTTTGATCTTTCGATGTCGGCTCTTCCTATCATTGTGAAGCAGAATTCAATTCACCAAGTGTTGGATTGTTCACCCACCAATAGGGAACGTGAGCTGGGTTTAGACCGTCATGAGACATGTTAGTTTTATCCTACTGATGATAATGTCGCAATGGTAATTCATCCCGATACGAGAGGAACCGTTGATTCACACAATTGGTCATCGCGCTTGGTTAAAAAGCCAGTGGGTGAAGCTACCGTGTGCTAGATTATGACTGAACGCCTCTAAGTCAGAATTTGGGTTAGAAGCGACGCATGCACCCGCCGCCCGATTGTTGTTCTACAGTAGGGGCTTCGGCCCCCAAGGGCACGTGTCGTAGGCTAAGCTCGCGCGATGGATGCGCCGTGAGAGCCGCCTTGAAGTACATTTCCTACCAAGCGACGGGTTGAATCCTTTGCAGACGACTTAAATACGCGACGAGGTATTGTAAGTGGTAGAGTGGCCTTGCTTCCACGACCCACTGAGATTCAGCCCTATGTCGCTTCGATTCGTCCCTTCCCCACCCTATTCCCTAAAAACACCTATATATTTTGGAAAACGAGGTTAGCGTTGCTTCTTATATGCTAAAAAATGTTAAGTAGTGGATTGATACAAATGACAAAGCCAAAGTGTTGGGGTGTTGGATGGTGCAAGGGGGCATGTGGAATGTGCACAAGACATGTGCACCCAAGGACAAGGCATACAAACAACTAGTTTTGTCGTTTGAGGGTATGCCATCTTTGCCTTAAGACATGGTGATTAGAGATGAATGAGATGGTTCTGGGCATCATCGATACGTGACTCCTAAGGCCCTTTGGGAACCCATGGAAGTACTTGGATGTAAAATCTCGCCGAGTGAAAAAATGATGTACGGAAGCCAAATTTGAAGGCTATAATACACGAAATCGGAGCAATTTAGTAGGT